CCGGCCCCTCCGCCCCTGGATCCGCCACTGCTGGGTACTGTGGGGGTCTGCAGTGGAATCTAAAACGAGATCCATGTCCCCTTGTTGTTGATGTCGGCTCAAATATGAGAACATTAACACGGATTATTTCAATATGTGTTTCTCCTTACACATTATACAAGATATTTGTGTTGTTGGTTGTGATGGTCTGAATAAATAAATTTGCGAGCGAGTCAAGCGAGCGAGGAAAATTTCAGATTTTTTTATTTGAATAAGGCAATTATCAGAGGTGATCGAATGGGGGCACTTACACAAAGTGAAGAGGGACACTGCTCGTACCTGAACAGGGGCATTTACTAGAGATTAAAAAGGGCACTAATGAGAATGGAAAGTGGACACTTATTGCAAAGGAAAAATTAGAACTTGTCGAAGGAAAAGGGGCACTTTTACAAAGTACTAGGGGCACTTTTACTTTGTAAAAAATTGGGCACTCCCTACAAATTAAAAGGGGCACTTTGGGGGTAATTGAAAAAGTGTGGGGAGGGCACCGTGCCCCCTGTGCCCCCTGCCCACGGAGCGCCGCCTCTGGTCTTAACTATCAATGTTCACTTTATTGCTGTTTATCTTTATCATATTAATATATTTTGCCTTTGCAATATTAAGTCTATTATAAGACAGAAATACGACCAATCACGAAATTAAGAGATACTATTAATATATTTTGCCTTTGCAATATTAAGTCTATTATAAGACAGAAATACGAACCATCACGATCATTGATTATTTTTTATCATATTGGTTATCTCGATGAAATTTAGTATTTTAAAAAGCATCATTTATTGTCATCCCATGCCCACTGTCTCCCACGAGTTTGGATTTGGAATAGGGTCGTACTGTCGGGGTTATCTCGTGGGGAGAGATGGTAAACATTAAACATATAAAACATATTGTCTTACTATAATGTTATATTTTTCCCCTTTTTTATTTAAAACGAAAAGGGGAACAAAATGGTAAAAAGTATTACGAGTAACATAATTTATTTTCATCCCTGTATTATATTCCAGAAGAGACATGCAGAAGTACGTTAATTTGTGTCATTCCTGGTTATTGTTATCTTTTAAATTCTCTTGCACTCAATTATGTTTCACTATAAATTTGAAATTTGTTATACAATGTATAAAAATAAAACTTTGAGAATGATCCGATTTGTTTGGATATAAATCAATAAAATTTGAGTTGAATTAAATTGAATTAAAATATATTTACTGTTACTGTACAGCTGTACCACAATTTTGCACGTGTGTTCAACTATTACTTCTTTTGACGACTTTTATCCCATTTTACGGCTTCCGGTGTCCAATGTTTTACCAATATACTACTTGGCTGTTGTAAACGTTCTGTTTACAAGATATAGGTCTGATAAGACCCAATACTTTGCAATAGTATACAAATATACACTGCCTTGAGAGGTTCTGGTTAAAACTATGCACAAGAGGTGACTCCAATAGTACTATTTGCTGAGGGGCGCAGCCCCGAAGCAAATGGTACTTTTGGAGTCACCGAGGCACATAGTTTAACCAGTATCTCGAATAGAAGGCATGGTATATTTGTTTTATATCCTGCATCAAAATTTTTTTTTTTTTTTTAAAGCATTTTTGGGAGAAAAAAAATTTAGAACAAAAAAATGTCAATTTTTATCTAAAAAGATTTAAAACATTTTGTTTTCATTAAATTAAGATTTGAAAAAAAAAATTGATTCAATTAAAAAAAACTCCCAAATAGTAAACCAAAATAGTACTTTCATATAGTACGTTCTAAAAATAGCTCAAATATTTTTGGTCATGTGACGAGCTCTCAACCAATCAAAAGCCAACAAATTTTGGATGCAGGATATAATAATCTTTTTTATATGGTTTAAAGTAAAAAATATAATAATTATTTGTACTTCGTTGGATAGTTCCCTATGTGGAGGGTGGGGGGGGGGGGGGGACTGGGACCCTTTGTTCCATTTCATCCCACTCCCAGTTTGTGTTTGGTAGGAACGTGATTTTTAACCAGTCATAATCAAGGTGCATTAATCGGTGAATAATCTTAGGCTTATATCAATTTTTTCCTGTATACAGATCATTCAAAATATTGCATACGAAATTGTGTGTAGCAAACGCAATGAACGTGATATGAAGAATGAACGTTATTGTGAAAAATATTAAAAATTTAGGTAAAAAAAATAATTAAAAATCACACATTTAGTCAATTTTTGCAAATATATATATATATATATATATATATATGTATATATATATATATATATAAATCGTTTTACAAATCAATTACACACGCAACTGTATAAAGAGTCTCTTATCTTAATGTGATTTATTACTTTCAATATCTCCAGCACTAAGTTGGGGACAATATTACCTGTAAAATCTGTTATTTTAGCATTTTATAACTCTTTTCCCCACTTCTCCCCATTCTTGATATCTTTTAAAATTAAAATTTGCATAAAATGTAAAAACATTAACAAGTTAGGAAGTGTATTGTTATGTAGCCTATTACAGGCCTATACGATATAAGAACATAATGGAGAGACTAAGGTAGCCTACAATACATATCTAGAAACGTTACAAAGTAAAAAAAAAAAAATCCTGATTCGTGCCTCGCTTCACCCGTTCTCCTCGTCACATGTATTTACTATATGGCACAATGGACCCCCCCCACCCTCCCCCAAAACAACAACAACAACAATATTTTATAAAGTAGAAGAATAAATAAACATGTGTGTGTGTGTGTGTAATTGGGTTTTTACAGACGTGTATCAATCAGATATGATTATTTACGTCTGGGGACCGGCCTTTACCGTCACCATCCGAAAGACGGATGTGTTATGATTTCCAAGTATTTTAACAAATTGTTAAAATACTTGAATTGAATATAATTATATTGAATATACATTTACCGTAAAACTGTCCATTGGAGTTTTATTTAACCTCAATTGAATTGAATGAATGCGTACATTTTGATGAAATGTTCTGATTTGAAGGCAAGACATTTACCCACAGTACGTCAGAGCCTATATTGCTCGATGCTAGCTCTGAAATATTCGTCCTATTTGAAATTTACCTATACTGTGTGTTTTGCTGCCACAATGAGCGTAATACTCTCAAAAGATCCTTAAATTGAACCATGTGCATTTTCCCCCTTTCATTTCTACAGATAACATAACTATATAAGTTCAATATTAAAGCAAATGTGTTTAATTAAGATTTATGATGCAAAGTGAGTTTGAAAACTTTCATTTCTTTTTTTGTACATGTACTTGATTATGCCATTATTGGCATAATATAGTTATGTATAAATATTTAAAAACTTATGAATGTACATAAAACAGGTTCACTATATCAAAACCATCAGAAAAAGTCTTTTGCGTGAGAGTTTAAATGATTTGGCCGAATTTAGTCGGATTTTTTTACGGTCACAAGTAAAGCCTAGCTGCGACCTGTTTTGTTTATGAGTGCTCGTATATTTTATCGTTGTATTTAGGGGCGTGAATAAAAAGTGGCGAACTTATGACGATATAGGCCTACAGGGGAGGTTCTATTCATAATATAATAATAAAGATATTAAAACGCGCAACATAATCCACCCAGAGGGAGTCAAGGCGCTTACAATGAGCTACATACTTAGATACAATATGCTTTACATTTCAAATGTATAGGGTCCAAACGGATCTTTTCTCTAATCATTTCAGGTTCTTCGGAAGCATGCTGTCAGATTTTAATGATGGCATGGCTTATATCTCACCTAATTGTTTTGTCATTACTGTAGCCTATATACCATAGGGTTAGGGTGAAATGTAAATAATAATAACTACACGATTTTCCTCTAAAACGTGACAATTTATATAGAATAGTATGGAAGAGAGAGGGCAGCAGCCCAAATTGATAAAGGTGACTATCAACCATATATTACAAGGAGTGGACTGGTGGCTAGTTTTTACGCTTGATTCCAATAACATATTTCTTGAAATGTTCTTTAAAAAAAATCTATATTATTGTTCGGGATAAAGGCGTCCAGTTCTTGTCCGTAGAGCCAGATACAGAAATTCTTTTATTCCAAATTCCATGCACATCTATAATGCACAAATAACACGAAGTTCTCAGCTTTAAGCGAAATAATAGCGATAATAGCGACTATGATTATTTGTTAACTTTTTCTCTACCCACCCAGTAAGATAAATTTGTAGGGATTGGGTTGGAAAGTTTTCCACCTCATCACCTTGTGGGTCAAAAATATCCGTTGTTTAGCTCTGCTGCTGATTTTTTTTACATTACTATGGCGATGTATTTTCTGTCATGCATTATAATCTGATTGGAAATTATGTCATCTCTCCTTCTCTATCTCTCCCCTTTCCCTTTGGACCCTTTCCAACTCTCCCTATATGTCTCTCTTTTATCAGTCCTTCGAGCTTGAGCTCTCTTTTCATTTCTCTTTCTACTCATATTCCATCTATATTCATACCTAAATTTATTCATGATGTGATTCAGAATTGTATTTAAAATTCTTGCTATGTATAAGTCATATAACTGTCTTGTTATGTTTTGTGCTGAAAGCCGAGGACCGTACCTGCTCATAAACTTTTTCTTTATAGAGTCTTGACGCCCTTCTGGCTTTCAGCACACGACACCATGTTTTTGTCTTATGTTTCACATATTACATGTTACACCAATGGAAAACAAATTTCTGTATTATATTATGGACAATACAATCTTGAATCATGAATCTTGAATTTTTGGTTGTTGTTTGGAGTCGGTGAAGGAAGGGTTTGTGTCATCTTTCGTGTATCCTCTCCCCTCTCTCCCTCTCTCTCCCTCTCTCTCTCTCCTCTTCCTTCACTCAGGTCTGTCTTTCTATGTCTCTCTTTCTCTCTCTCTCTCTCTCTCCATCTCTTCTCTCTCGATCTCCCCTCTCTCGATCTCTCTCATTCTATGTCACACATACTAAGAAACGTACACACAACCTTATATTATTATTGTATTATTATTGATAATCCATGTACTCGGTGCTTTTAGAAATGTTAAGACCCCTACCTATACTACACATCGTACACAAAATAAATAATGTCTACATAGAATAACACCGTGCAATTAAGAATTGACTTTTAACATTTTACTATTGGTAATGTTTTACAGCTACAAAAACTAATTTCAAAATACAATATATAAAATGAAAAAAATGTATCTGCCAAAGAAACTAGAATGAGACATGTTAACTGGTGAGACTATATTCTATAGCTGCATTTACTGGTATCCATCTTATAATCATCATCATCATCATCATCATCATCTTCATCATCCCCATCCTCTTCCTCCTCTGCATCATCATTATAATAGGAATAATGATACTAGTGATGATGATGATGATGATGATGATGATGATAATAATAATAATAATAATAATAATAATAATAACTCCTGGTGGTCGATTATCATTACCCTGGATTTAAACAGCTGCCATTACGGCTCTCGTATATAATTTTGTGGAACTTGTTCCTGCCAAGTACCCATTTACCTCACATGGGTAGGGTGTGGCAAGTCCGCAAGTGCATAGATGAATGTCTGGCCATTAGGACATTAGTGCTGCGATAGGGATTCGAACCCCGTACCTCGGGGTTCACTGTCTGGAGACTAAACCACAACACCTCTATCGACAAAAAAGAGCAAAGATCCTGATGAAGATAATTATGATAATACATGTAGATTATGTATTATTGTGTACATACAGAAATCCTTTTAAATATCGATCAAAGAATTAGAGGTTGCTTTCGTGTTAAAACCGAACCTTTATGCTCTTATTTGATTGCCTTTTGATCTTTTATTTCATTTTCAGTCATGATACACTTTATCTTTCATCTTTGCATCGTGAATGACACATAAAGTCTAAAATACTCACTCAGAAAGTGTCAGAACTGGGAATGGGCATAATATACTGTCATACATGTACAATTATAACTCTAATTGTTAGTACATCTCTCAGAACAAGTACTTGTGAATATCTCTAAACTGGTGAATGGGTGCTTTGGAGGTTACCTACTCAGACACTTGAATTGTAAATTCCCCCGGTTAGCTATCGGATTCATCTTGAAGAGATAGTGTTGTGAGGCCTATCCAAGCATCAGCCATTGTTTTGAGATCACCATCCTCCGCGGAGAATGGCCCAGCAAACGTCGGCTCTTCACTAGTAAATCCAGAGTCTTTGAAAATAAAAGGCTGCGACTCTTTATGACGATTACCTGCCCATTCTTCTAAGGCATCTTCCAGAGCAGTTCTTTCTGCAGATGGTTCAAGCCCTGAGATGTAAGGCATGCTTTCACTGTAATACAATGTATGCCTCTCAATATCCTTTAAATAGAAGCACATTGATTCCAGGTCTTCTAACAGGTTGAATCTTTTGAAATCCCCTAATCTCCGCGGCACGTCCGTTCTCGAAGACACATCAGAGAAGAAGCACACGACATGTTTGTCTTTCCTTTCTTCCCGGTCATCTTTGGTGAGTGTTAAAAGTTTTTCAAAATTAGAAAATTTTGATTCAGTCATCTGTGCGGAACAAATCCAGAGAATCTTCTTTGCCCTAGTTGATGTCGTCTCAAGCCAAAGTTCTTGCCCCTGTTTACCCATTTCCAGAGTGTGCTGTGATGGCAGGACGGGATGAATGCCACCACGACGCAGTATATATATTGCCAGCTTCTCAACAAGTTTAACAAACTCAGAGTTTTCTTCGGGATAGGCAAAGAGGACGTCATCTGAAGTTTGGGCATCAGAAATAATGGGTATAGTAGAACTAGTGGAACATACAGGTTCAATCGGATCTGAGAATCGTCCTGAAATCATAAGAAAGGGATACAAAGCAGGACAGAAAGGAGCAGAAAGTGGGGCATAATGGCAACAAGGAGCCACGGTTAGAAAAAAAGGAAGAAAGAGAGAGAGAGAGAGAGAGAGAGAATGGGGTGGGTGGGATATAGAGGGTGGTAAAGAGGGTCAGATGGGAAGGAGTTTTGTATATGACAAAGGAGAGATGAAAAAGGGATAATTTCAATAATCTAGCCCTATAACTGACGGCATATCATCCATCTTATCAAGAAGTGATACCCATGCAAGTCACACCGTGAAACCGACTCAAAACTAAGTATTGGCCATTAGGAAATGCTCGGTGCCCAGGGTCATATATATCTTTGTTATGCCTGTTGTCGATGAGATGCCGGTTTTGTTGGTGTGGCTTGGGTTTAATGCTTGGTAGATTAACCTCCTTCAAAGAACAACACTATACCAACTTGGAATAGGCTTTTCATGTATTATCATAAAATCGATTTCTGTTTTTATATCTGGTGGAACCATATATTTAATTGAAAGAACTTTAACAACAAAGTAACATGGTGGTATGGTCTCGTACCCCTCCGGTACCCTTTTATTCCCTTCCTAGGTCACGGTCACTGCCACTCAAATCTAATAGAAATTAAATGATGCTTATTTACATTATGAATGATAGGCCTAATTGGTATTCAAGAGAACCCACATTTCCTGCAAAAAAGTTATTCCAACTTTAAAAAGAAAAATTATGAAAAAAAGAATGATTGGGGGATATGCGGAGCTTCAAAGTTGATCCAAAGTTAATGGACACAAATGGGCATGCAGAGGACATGACTGATGACATAGGGTATCATCAATCAATTTCTTACAGGTGAATAATAACACTTACTGTGATGTTTTCTGTGATGTTTTCTGTATAGACCGACAGCAATAAGGATGAAGACCACCAGAGCGCCCACAACGGCAGCACCAGTGATCACCTGCCATGAACTATCCCGAGCTTGGTCAGTGGATTCTAAGTATTGGAGGAAGCACATCATCATGAAATCAGATATACCCTGAATGTTGCGAGAATTGTATTTTATATTCCTCCATCTAAAGTAACAAAACTTATTATAAGGGCTCCATACTTTCTAGATTTATCTTTTATTCTGACTTGGAATTGTGACCATGAACACCTTTTTGCCCCTTTATTCTGGGCCACTACGCAACAGGGCATATTCTGCTAAGATAAGTGCATGTCGCTCTGCGGATGCCTCCACAACATTCATTGAAATGTAACTGAACTATCAAAGTGTGTGGAATGCATTCATATAAACTCACATGCAATATTAAAATGGCTTACCTATTAGAGTACTTTCATCGATTCAGTCTTGGATGTGATCCAGTAGAGACATCTAAGACTGTTGAACCAACATACAACATTAGCGAACAAGGTGGATGCAACCATACTCACCTCAATGTCCAAATTTGTTTCATGATTTTCTGACATTTGATAGAATGGAACATAACGAACTTACGGATACACGTGTGGTTATTCCTGTTGAGAGCTCCTTCTTGGCACTGACAGAAGTAATCATCGCCAAGACGAATACAAGAACCGAGAGGCTCGCAGGTGTTTGATTCACAAGGGTCCCCTGCATATAAATTGAATGCACGAAAACTTTATTACTACTGGTATCAACAAAATAATAACACTTTATTTCTGTACTATCATTTTGCATCATTTATATTCCAAGTTCATGTCTATAATCTTTTTAATGGATACTGTGATGTAGGAGTAAGTGTGAAAACAAGAGAGCAAAGTTACATAGTTACGATTTGCAACAACATAACCCTGAATATGCTAGAGTGATTATTGGATACCATTGCAGAGAAACAATCATAATGATTACTTCTTGGGAATATTATCAAGCATACTTACGGATACAAGTGTGATTGCTCAGGTTAACAGTCCCTTCTTGACACTTACAATAGTAATCATGACCAAGAGGAATGCAGGATCCAAGAGGTCCACAAGTGTTGACGTCACAAGGATTCTCTGTGGATGATAAGTATATAAATACCAAATGAATGCTGATAGTACTGAAATAATATCATTTATATACTTCTCTTTAGAAATCTAGCCATCTGATTGGTAGAAATTGGAGCCGTGATTTTAGCCATTCCCGTAGAGAAAAGTTCAATGCCAGTAATGGTCAATAGCTGTTCATGAGTGAGATTCCCGCAAGGTTCCGGGTACCGGGAAAATTGTTCAATCTTGCTGCGATCCTCACTGGTTTACGTGTTAAAATTGTCTTTGTGCGAGCGAGCGCGGATACCATACCATGCTTTTTGTCTGCGATTCCCAAATAATTGTATACATTCAGTCATCTTTCCATCGAAGATTAACAGACAGTGTCTCAGATTTTCCGAGATGTTTTCACCAATCTTTACTCAAGAAAAGGGTAAGGTAAGAATTACTGGTAAATGTTGGTGTCAATTCGGTATATAAAAGACATATCGACTGCTTCACTATTCGAGGCCTGGCTGTTGGCTTTCGGGGACACCCAGGCGCGCCTCGGTGTCATGGCAGGATGTGCACGTCCCCTTGAGCATATAAAACAACCAGGCCTCTCATGGCAGTCGATATCTCTATATTACATTGAATGAGAGAAGAAAAAACAGGTACACAGCATTGGAAAATGCTTTTACACAAAGATTTGAATGTGTTAGAGTGATTATTTAATTAGAACATAAGATAAACTATTATTTTCTTAGCAATTAATAAAATGTACTTACGGAAACAAGTGTGATTTTTCAGGTTGAGAGTTCCTTACTGACAAAAGTATTCACTGCCACGAGGAATGCAAGACCCAAGAGGTTCACAAGTATTCGATTCACAAGGGTTTCTTGTAAATAAATTCATTATGAAATAACTGAGGCATAGAAACATGATATCCATTAGAGGGATTGGGTATCTTTGCCTCAGATTCGAAATAAAATCCTGAAGTTAGCTCATGCTGCAATCATAATTATCGACCTTTAGGGAAGTCAGGAATCCCATGCCTTTTACAAGCTGATTGCCTGTCTGGTTATCAAGATATCTATGATTGGAATTCGAAATTTCAAAAACCGTTTATCCAACGATTTTTATAACACTACAGTCTATTGGGGAAAAATGAGTGTGGGAACACCGGTCACTCGAAGATTTTTACTCTTTTGAGGCACTTCATGATTATTTTGAAGTGCAATTTTTTAGGGCTTCATTATTACACCATATCACTGACACTGATAACACGTAGGGTCATGCAGCTCACATTTGTAAAACTGGAAACATTGTTAAACAATGCCTTTAATTTTCTTTGATACGGTGGTGATTTTTCTGGTTGATTAGATCTAAAGGGTAACTCAATAATCCAATAATTCTAACATGAGATCGTGTTGAAATTAGAGTATTTTCGTTCATTTTGGGTAACTCCTGCAAAAAGATTTCAAGTAATGGTTTCCTGGAAGCTTTTCTTTCTAACTCCAAAAGATGAACAAGATCACTCTGTATTTTCCTCAGATATTAATTTTGTCATTACTCGACAGACTATGTTTTCATTTATTGCGGTATAGCACAATTTACGCTGTTTTTTGAGAACTATAATGTTCCTTTGTCTTTTATTCATGCTGGGTATAATGTGAAATTCGATGTAGAAACCTAGAATAGTACATAATGTTTGCAAGGATCAAGTTCATGTAGCATTTCTTACCTTGAAATATGATAACGGGACCTACTATGCGGAACACCTCATCTATACCATTCATTGCTATAATCTAAAATAGATAAAACAAAACAAATCATTGGTTGTATTTGCACAACTAAATGAATAGAGAATGCTTCATTCACTTTCCCTTTAAAAACCTTCAAAATGAGGTTTTAAATGAATGGGAGAAGGTCAAGAGGAAAATCAAGAAAGACATGGACAGATGATATTAGGGAGATCACTTCCAGAATGCACACAAACACCTCGTGAAGATTGGACAAGAACAAGCGATATCACTATGAATAAATACAAAGTTTCATTATACGGGTATCTCTCTTATGCCGTGCTATCCCCATTTTCTTCCCAAAGGATATCAACTTTTATTATCGCAGAACCAGTTTTTATCTTAGTAATCTTACTAGGGAATTAATAATATCCTTAATTTTTCGATTTGTAAAATATGTAACTACTGAATTGCTCTAACTGCAACTCCTGATTACCAGTTTGTATGCTCTGACTTCATTAGATAAGAAATTGCAGCAACTTTTATTGTTACTCAAATTTAAGTACATCAATGAAACAAAATGTTTTCATTAATCTACCTATTAATTTGCATACACCTACAAGCAATTTGTAGAGCAGCCTTTTATCAGGTAATATAATAGTAATTGGTATAATGAATTGACAAAATACACCCCTTACTCTCTTTTTAATCCCGGAAAGTTAGATTCTTTTTGAAATTTCATAAGGTCATTATCCACGTTGTACCATTGCGTTCGGGAAAGTGCTATGACGCGGTTTCATTGGTTAGCGGTACTATCCATTATTTCAAAATTTCAAATCATACAATCCGGAAACTGCTGTATTCTAATTCTGGTCTGCAACTATGATCTCTTCAAACTTTTCCAAACGAGTCAATTACCTCAGGGAGCCCAATTATTCGAGACTGAACTTCTTAAGATAATGATTGTGAATATTAAATATGTCATGTTGCTGACTAACCGTTACAGTGATGCTATCTCCTGGTTTCGCGTTCACCTCAGCATAGTCCCTGGATGTAGCGTTCACACTGGAGCCATCAACCTCAACACGAGTTATATTCAAATCAGCCTGACAGTGAAAAAAACAATGGATGATTGGTAGCTCAAATAATGATATACCTTTGTCAATAGTGATCACTGATGGACTAATTTTTCCAAATTGAAAGTATAATAGTTAAGCGTTTATTACACAAAATTCGGAACATCGTCATAAACTTAAAAGCATAATCCTCTATGGAGAAAAGCAGGTCTGCCTGAATTTTTAAAGGGTTGTTACAGGAAGAACTGTAATCTTGAACTGCCTAATTATTTTTTTTAAATCACAATTACCGATAAAAATTCAAAGGATAATTATATTTTGAATTATTGAAATGATCATGTTCAGATCGTCACTTAAGCTGTACAGTTTGTTTGTGTGTGTAATCAAAATATGCTTAATTAGGAATATAAAACAAAGAAAACAATCATACCACGTAGATGATATGTCCGTCGACAGAATATCCTGTCATCATGTCGTGTATGTAAATCTCATATAGAGTTATTGGATAAGAAGGAGCTGCAGGTTCGAAGGTCAGTCTTAAGATGTTGTAGTCTGGGAAGGCTTGGTAAAATGCAATAAAAGGGTTCCATGTCTCTGATAGATGGCAAATAAACAAGCAGGCAAAGAAAGAAAGAAAGAAACAAACGGAACTGTTAGCTTTTCCTTATAAAGAATTATGGTTATCCTGAATGTATGACATGAATAGTGACAGTTTGTTTTTTTGTAAATGGATCTTTCCTTATATTCGTAACAAATATATTAGAATAAAGATGGTTAGCAACAGACTATTTTCGTAAATGTAACCAAATTAAATTTAAGGCATAGGTCTTTGTAAAGGGCCTAGCTATAATTAAATTATTTCATTCACCTGTAAGGAAGAAGTGCATATCAATAGTCAGAATGCAAAGTGCATTATAGTACGTGTTCTTAGGTAAGATAAGCCATAATATTTTGTCCTACCTAGTAAGAACTGATGAAATTCGCATTCTGACTATAATACACTTATTCCTAACAGGTGAATGAAATATTTGTTTTTATGGCATTTCACAATCGTATGCATTAAATTTTGTTTTATTATATATTATATCGAAAATGGTCTATCAAGACAAATAGGAGTTCACAAGCAAATCTTTCAGTGAATTTACAGTATAGAAGTCCTTACAAAAAAGAGAGTTGGGAATAACGAATAAGAAGGCCTAGGACTAACTTTTACTTTCAAAGGCATCAAACAGTCCAATACCATAATGTATAATGTTGGTTTGAAATAATATCAATTTTATTTGTTAATGGGTAAAGTATAATCGGTATAGCCACAATCAGGGTGCAAAACCATTTGCACTTGGGTCCAAAAATGAAGTATGCAATAGAGCAGTTTCATCAACCCCAAATTGTTCATCCATACCCTAGGGTCAATAACCTGCAATATCCTGGAGGAAACTATCTTGGTTATCATTTTATGAACAGCAACACAACAGGGGGTGGTAGGTGTTACGGACACTACACAAAGCTACTGAAATGGAATTTTCGAGCATTATTTATCTTAACACTCAAATATTTTGCACTTTTTTGGGGAATTTCTTGGCCATTTGTGAAAAATAAAACAATTCACACTCACTTCAGTCCATAAATTAGACTCAGTATACACATCAGAGGTAACACAAGGTCAAATCTGATAAATTAAATTTTTTCAAAACCTGAAACTTTTAAAAAAGCCAACCAAACATTGGTAAATGAGACAAATTACAAACTTTAGTCCCATCTGTATACATATAAAACAAATCAAATTGCTGGGAAGGCTCGTTTCATATCATAAGTTGTCCAAAATAGCATGTACAAAATCCTATAAAATGTTACGGACACTACAGTTTGTGTACATGCTATTCTTTGATGCAAAATATAAGTAATCCTTTGCTTTTTTTCTGCCATCATTGTTGTTGCTGCATATCTTGAGACCAACAGAGAGTATCTTTTCAAATCCTCATTATCAAGTCTCTTAGATAGGACTGAACCCTAATAAGGCCGGGGACCATTATGCCCCCCCCCCCTCCGCGATTTTTGTTATTGTTCGGGACCGCATACGGATGGCGCCCCGCCGCTCGCTGACTTTTTTCTTTTGAGTCTTGCGCATCTTTTAAAACATTTTTTTTTAAATCGGGGGGGGGGGGGGGGGGGTACAGTTACAAAGTCACGTGACCTTTTGTCTTTGCATGTCAGCCCAAAATCGTGATTTGTGTGCAAAACATAATTATGGAAATGTCATTTTCTCCTAAAAAGAGATAAAACATTGGTTATTGGGTCTTGTTTAAAGTTTTGGTGTTTGGTTTGGGAGTCAAAATAGTTGAATTGTAGTTAGAAAAAAACAACAACAATAAAATACAAAAGTTGAAAAAAACAATGAAATACTTAAGAAATTATCCAAACAAGAGATAACATAAAGAATAACCTAGCTCTCCCAAAATTGTTGTCGTATTATTGTTTCAAATGGTTTATCAAATACATTTAGTGAAAAAGAATGCTTAAATATAAAGAATATAAGGTTGATGGGTAAACAGGTGAATTTTATGACCTTATTTGCAATACCATAAATATGCAAGTTTTTAATTTTTCAAAAAATTAAATTTACCATAGTATTCTATACACTTCATGTGACATGCTGCAAAATTTTCGCGGCGATCGGCCATTTCACGGCCGAGATCTTAGGGGGGGATAATGCACCCCCGGCCATATCGAGACCTCAAATAGCCCAGCCTTTTTTATGGTTAAAGGGAAGTCCTCCCTTTCAATAGAAGCAGAAAACATAATTTGCTCTATTTATTTATAGGGGTGGCCGAATTGGAGTGTTTTTTCTTCTTCTCCATCTTCTCTGCTCACTTTTAAACATTGAAAGAAGCATAACTATTTAGAAAATTATTAAAGGAAGATGAAAGAAGACATTAAAAAATGATAAAACGAAGGAAAGCATGAGGAAAGATTAAAAGAAGGAAGAAGAGAATAAAAAGAATAATAACTTAAGAAAGAAAAAGAAGAATAAAGAAAAGGATAAGAATTAGAAATAGGGAAAAGGAAGAACAATATAATAAAAAAAGGAAGAAGAGAGAAAAAAAGAGGATAATACAGTACATCATGTAGCATAATCAAGGTGAGCCTCTTAAAGACATAAGCATGAAAACCCTAGATTTTTGAAAAGACGAAAGGACGATGTACTTCATTTTGAGAAGTAACTCTGAAAAGATAAATGTATCTCATAGGACCTTACAAGATTTGCTCAGTGACACCAAAAAAACAATATGTTTGAAAAAAAAAGTTCCCATGGTGTCCTTGTATATTACAGTTTATTATGTGGTGCAGGATTCAATGTGCGTTTGGAGAAGATTGCACTGCATGCATTGTCGTTGTATCGTACATGGATGTGCTGCAGGATATATTCAGTATATTTAGAACCCATTTTTAGGAACTCGTTAAAATAGCGTTGAAAAATTTGGGGTCATTAAAAGACCACAGTCTGTACTTTATGAAGAGTATTTCGACCAACTTAGTGGTATACTTGTAAGACCTTAGACAGTGTACGCCGAAAAACAGGAACAAAGCATTTATACAAAGAAATGATAATTAATATATATGCAAAATTATGGTGTAATCAATAATCATTTATGATACGTTTATTCAATAATCCTCAGATGTTTGGTGATCGTTGTTGGTGGTGGCAATCAAACCAGTATTCATAAAATCTTCAGATATATTTTATATACAAATGTCGGTAAGTCAAAAGCGACCTCAGTCTATTTTTTTCTCTCTCTCTCCATCAAATAGTATGCTTAATTTATCAAGAGAAATTGTAAGCAAAAACGTAGACGATGAGATATTTCATATTGTATATGTTAATCCCCTCAAAGGGGGTGTCCTCAATAGAAGATATTTTTGCATAGTCCTCAGGAGACATAAGTCATACACGTACTGGTGTGTGCCCAGGTGTTTGTGTGTGTGTGGACATAAAATACAATGTAGTGACTTTTACATTTCGTAGGTAGGCAATTAAATGATTAAAATGTTGTATTTTCTCATGCATCATACATATTTGATGTCATAGACAGCTTTTACAATGTTAACATTTATTTTAGAACACTGTTATCCAGAGAAAGAGGTACAGTTTGGCTTGCAGGCCTTGATATTACTCCTTCTGTAGTGTCCGTAACACAGATCTGTAGTGTCCGTAACACTGGCTCCTACTCTTTTCTACCCTCGATAATGAAACTAAAACACAATGATGCATTTAATTTGATACTTTATTACATCTAACTAATATTATTTAAATAAAATATGGATATTAAATTAGTCGTAAGTCAATTTTTTAAAAATATTTTAAATTAAATTCATGGAAAATAGCTTATTTGTTTGCGAAATATCATATCCAGGAGAAAACCTTCCAGGAAAAGAGAATTTGTGTTATTCATTCATAAGAGCAACTGTATCAAATCAAATTTGAATTAAAAATTTGTAGTATTTAGTTATCAAGCTGTATTTTTAGACCATCACACACTTGTGTAAAGCGTTGGTCACATCCCACCGTGCGTGTTTTTAGTCCGTACGGTTTTGGGGAGGCCACGGCCGCCACGTTTTCTGAAAACGTAGGGAGGGAGTGGCAAAGGCAGGGAGGGAGTACCGGCAAAGCACGTCACACGCACGGTGTAAGTACGTGGCCCGCACGCCACGCCTGGCCTAGAGCGGTTGCGTGCATCGTACGTTGCGCACGTGGTAAGTGCGTTGTACGTGCTTACAACGTGCTTACTACGTGCTAACAACGTACGGTCTCCGTGCGGTTGCCACGTTACGGAGGCCGTACTTACACGTGCTGCTCACGTACGGTGTCCTTACTCACTCGCACGTTGTAAGTGCGTGCACGTCCGAAGAACTTGGTGAGTCGGGGTATGTCGAAGTATATAGGACGACATTCCCATTTTCTCTAGAAGTCCCAGCTGCTGCTGCCTCCTCATGATGCCGCCCATTCCACCGCAGAGACTCCGGGTTCTGATGCTGCAAGAACACCTTCAAGTGGCAGCGCATGAGCACGACGTGGTATTACTTGCCTTGATACGGGAGAGAGAGAGAGGCAACAGAGATGCCGACGCAGGAGATGGTGGGTTCGCCCATGGATCGAGAGGAGGCTTTTCGGGCAGTACGAAACGTTGTTCCAAGAACTAGAGCGTGAATCGCGGGGGGACTATGTCGGATACATCCGAATGGACCCCAATCTCTTCGCCGAGCTCCTGCTCCGAGTGACCCCTCGAATCACCAAGTGCCCAAGGTGTGTGTCTTCATTTCTGCCATAACAAATTCTTGGTTTTGCTTTGTATTTGCTTTAAAATTTATGACTTCCGGGTGGCACACAACAGCATATCCACGTTTGTGCCGGAGGTCTGCACCGCCATCTACAAGGAACATAAGGAGGAGATGTTCAACATGCCCTCCACACAGGACGAGTGGAAAGCCGTCGCCAGCCAGTTTGGAACGCGATGGAACTTTCACCACTGTTATGGGGCGATCGATGGGAAACATATCGCCATCAAGAAGCCCAATAAAAGTGGATCGCTCTATTACAATTATAAGCGCTTCTGTTCTGTGGTGCTCCTGGCCATCGTGGATGCTAACTATTCCTTCTTGTGGTGCAAGGTGGGGGCAAACGGCTCTTCCTCAGACGCACGCGTGTTCAACGAGTCCACCCTCCGGGGGGCACTGGAGGACCACACCATTGGATTCCCAGCACCGGATCCACTTCCAGTCGACGACCGGAACTTTCCTTACTTCATCGTAGGCGATGATGCTTTTCCCCTGCGAAAGTGGCTCTTGAAGCCATACAGTCGCCGTGCCATGACCCACAAAGAGAGCGTGATAAACTATCGGACCTCTCGGGCCCGTCGGGTTGTGGAGAACGGCTTCGAGATATTGGCTCACCGGTGGCGGTGCCTACTCACCACCCTGCTGTTGGGGCCTGACAGGGTGATTCGCGTTGTGTTGGGCTGCCTCACCCTTCACAATTGGCTGCGAAAGCGCCGGCCCGGACTACAGGACCTTAATTTGGACCACGAGGATGAGGATGGCAACGTGGTCCCTGGGGCCTGGAGGGAGGATGTGCAGATGACCGAACCCAACCAGATGGTCGGCCAACGGGCCTCAAGGGAAGGGAAAACCCTGAGAAACTTATCGAAGAAGACCGGATTGACCGAGAAGAACTCAACCAGGCGCTCCTCCTGTTTCGCCGAGAACGAGCAGTTGGCCTTTTCCTTTGTCACACCCTTTTCATGTGACCCCTTCTCCGATCCACCAGCAGCACCCTCCTCATGATCAAACGCTTTGGCGTCACCATCTGGCTCCTTTTTCGCTCCTCCTCTCCTCTTCCTCTCTGGCCCTCTCATCTTCCGCGGCCCGTTTCTGTTGGGCCTCTCTTTTCTTCTTATCCGCTGCCTTTTGAGCTGCAGATGCAGCTGACCCTTATTCTGTGTCTTCTTCGGCGCCATCTTGGAGACGAAATGTTGGCACTCTTCCGTCGGCTCGGCTTTTGTATACTGCATAAATCAGTGCGCACAACGTGCGTTGTAAGTGCGGAGCACGTGCTTACTCGGTACGGTCTACGTGAGTTCTGCGTGCTCATTTAGAAAGTTGAACTGGGGAAGTGACGAGTAAGCACGGACCACGCGCTTATCACGTGCGCAGCACGCACGTGCTAAGTGCGCCTTCCGTAGAGCAAGTGATCGTGGGAAACAAATTTAAAAACGCACGGAGTCAGTGCGTTGTGCGCTCGTTGGCAGTACCGGGCACGCACGTCACGCACACTGGGGGTGAATCGGTAGCCCGAACGCAGCGAAAGTTCCTCGTGCACTAAAAGTGCTACGGTGTGTCTGCGTGCTCCCAAATCCGTACGGAGGCGGTACTCACCACGTACCGATACCCAAATTTTGCCCACGTTTTTGCACGTAGACAGCACGCACTTGCAAGTACGGCGGGATGTGACCACCGCATTAGTTGTGTTACGGACACTACATACGTTACGGACACTACAATTGCCATTTATTAAACTGCAAAAAAAAAACTGTTATGCTTAGCTGAATTTTATTATACCTCAGCTAGTCCCCGGAGGAAGTTACACAAAGCAAAGTATATAAGAACTTTGAAAACATTTTCACATAGCAGGAATTACACCGTTACGGACACAACAGGAAATTCCGGACAAAATTTATGATTGGAATGTGGGTATATATTTTTGTAAAACTTGTATCTTTGTTTGATTTTTTGTTTCTGATGATAGGACAACATGCTACTCAGAAAATATAACCAAATACCAATTGATATAATGCTAAAATATATGAATTATAGAGGCAAAATTATACACAAAGCTGTTTTTCAAAAAAGCGTTACGCTTGTCTCTCTTCACAGAAATAACCACTGTATCGCAATATTTGGGTCAATTCTCAAGCCGTAAAAAAATAGTGAGTGGAGATAAAAAGGACTACAAGCTGGCAAGAAAATATATGGCATATCTTGTGTAAATCCATGGTAACACCTAATGAAAAAGACACATTTTCGAATCCAAATGCGTAACAGCCAAAAAGTGGTATTTCTGGCCCTCTATTACCATTCTCACACAGCCAACACAAAATAAATTCAAACAAAAGTTGCTGCCTGATGAAGAACTCATATGGTCCAACATTTCATGCCACAAGACATTTGATTAAACGACTTTGTGTTTCCAGGAGAGATGCGTAACACTGTAGGTAAAATAGTTGCACCCTGATTATACGGTGTCTATTTGAATATGAGAAACGTTTTTCTCGTGATAGCCTAACTGACTAACCTTTACATGATGTGTGGCCTACATGATCTTCGTCTAAAGTTTAACTTTTATAATTTCTGGTTGACTAAATCTAAAGGGTAACTTTATGATCCAATAATTCTACATGAGATCGTGTATTTTGTGTAACTAATTCTTTCAACAACAAAAATTACACTGGATTTTAGATAATGGTTTAATGGAAGTCTTTTTAAAGTTTTTTTTAAAGATGAACAAGATATCAATATCAGATATCAATTTTGTCATAACTCGTCAAACCATGTTTTCATTTACGCGTAATGCAATATTTCAATGCGGTAAAGCACAATTTAGGCTGTTGTTTGAGAACTATAATGTTCCTTTGTCTTTTATGCATGCTAGGTATAATATGAAATTCAATGTAGAAACATGGAATATTGCATAATGTTTGCAAGGATCAAGTTCCTGTAGCATTTCTTACCTTGAAATATGAGAACGGGACCTACTCTGCGGAACACCTCACGTATACCATTCTTTGCTATAATCTAAAAATAGATAAAACAAAACAAATCATTAGTTGTATTTGCAGAACTTAATGAATAGAGAATGCTTCATTCACTTTCCCTTTAAAAACCTTTAAAGAGAAGGTTGAGTTCTGGGAAGAGGTAAAAAAAAAATTTGTGAGCGTTATCATTCTTATTATGCAATGCAAGTGTGGAAGAACATCAGATAAGACATGTTTCCTGAAAAGCATGGTTCTTCAAATGCCTTCATATTCTAAATATTTCATTAAAATCGTAAAACTCGGGGGTAGGATTTTTACGCCACGTGTTCGTGTAGTCCCATATACATCTTTCTGTGTACAGTGTTTGTAACTTTACCAAGACTTGGCCAAATTTCTAATCATTTTGATGATTCCAGAACCTTGCAATACACACACATTTCTTATGTGCTAGATGATCAACCTTTTCTGATCGATTCCACACCGTTTCTTTCATAATGCAATCGCATGACCAGAACTCAACTTCATCTTTAACACGAGGTTCGAATGAATGGGAGAAGGTCAAGAGGAAAATCAAGAAAGACATGGACAGATGATATCAGGGAGATCACTTCCAGAATGCACATAAACAGCTCGTGAAGATTGGACAAGAACAAGCGATATCACTATGAATAGATATAAAGTTTCATTATACGGTATCTCTCTTATGCCTTGTTATATTCCACATACTAAGAATCTTGCTCTATGATTGGTCAAAAGTAAATCACGTGATGAAAGATAGTTCGCCCATCATTGATGGGAGAATAAAAGTTCTTTGCACTGTGTAGATAGTAGTACTATCTACACAGTGCAACGCACTTTCACTGAAGATAGAAGTACTCTCTACAGTACAGTGCAACGCACTTTAATTGTATACGCTGCGTATTGCTTTCCTCTTTAAGCGCTTTTATTGTTAGTACGCGAACTTTGGTCACGCGCGAACTATATGGTCACACCACCATACTACAAGCACAATACGTATCGTACATTGTTTGCTAGCTGTTGAAATGATGGATAAAGCAAATAATCCCATTTTAGTTTCAGGCGATGGCAAACTATCACTTCCTCGGCGATCTGAATGTATACGCTAGGCTTTCCTCGGCTTCGCTTCGGAAAGATAGCTACATCAAGATCGCCACGGAAGTGATAGTTTGTCCCTTCACCTTCACCAAACGGTATTCATTTGCTTACTTTCCCCCATTTTTGGACCAAAGGATATCAAGTTTTATTTTCGCAGAACGAGTGTTTTTCTTAGTAATCTTACCAGGGAATTAATAATATCCTTTCTTTTTATACGAGCAAGTTTTAAAGCAGCCTTTTACCAGGTAATTTACTGGTAGTTGGTTCAGTGAATTAACATAAACACCTCAAAGATCTTTAAAAAATCCGGCAAAGCTATATTTTCATAGAATTCCATATGAAGGTAATTACCCACTGTGTATAATTGCGTTCGGGAAAGTGCTATGACGCGGTTTGATTGGTAAGCGGTATACTATCATTATTTCAACATTTCAAATCATACAATCCGGAAACTGCTGTATTCTAATTTTGCTAATTTTACTTTAAACTATTCCTAATGGGAGACCAATTATTTGAGACTGAACTTCTCAATATAATGACGGTGAATATCAAAGGCCAAGTAAACTCGAAAAATAAATTGCTTTCAATAGATGCGGAAAAATCAGACAAACCAATCAAACCAGTCTGTGACGTCATGTCCTCACTATCCACTAATTGTTTTCTTTATATTGATAATATAATTTTCCTATTTTCCTCCTAAGAATCTTATTTCTTCACACCAGCATCCAATTTAGATTGATAGTAATGTGTTTTTGTGTGGATGCACTAATATAGAGTTTTTTTTTCTTCAGTTAAATCATGAAAAATGTGACTTTTGACAAACCATTTAGATAAAAAGTCAATAATTATGAATATACAATATTTAGAAAATAGTATCAATTCTTCAAAGTTCATAACAGAATTTGAGCAATGTAATGCACGCAATATGATACAAACCATATAATCTGGGCAAAGGTATGTGGACATCAAGTTTTGGGGGATAAAAAGAGAAATTAATGGGATTAAACTATATAAAGCAATTGATAAATAGTAAGGAAATGACGTCACAAACTGATAACCAAATTGGCAATTTGTGTAGTGATTTCCATTGTTCTATAGTTTTACATACTTTTTCAAAAATTCATAACTGTCTGATTAGTTATCCGATTTTGTTCAAACTTTCTTTTATTGGTTTTTCTGATTTTTCTGCTTCTATTGAAAGTAAGTTATTTTTGGAGTGGACTTGTACTTTAAATATTTCATGTTGCTGACTAACCGTTACAGTAATGCTATCTCCTGGTTTCGCGTTCACATCAGCATAGTCCCTGGATGTAGCGTTCACACTGGAGCCATCAACCTCAACAGGAGTTATATTCAAATCAGCCTGACAGTGAAAATAACAATGGATGATTGGTAGCTCAAATAATGATATACCTTTGTCAATAGTGATCACTGATGGACTAATTTGTCATAATTAAAAGTAAAACATCGTCATAAACTTCAAAGCATAATATTCTAGGGAGAAAAGCAAGTCTGCCTGAATTTTAAAGGGTTGTTACAGGAAGAACTGTAAATGTTGAACTGTTAAAAAAAACACACGCAATTACCGATACAAATTCAAAGGATATTTATAATTTGATTTATTAAAATGATCATGTTCAGGCCGTCACTTAAGCTGTAATTTTTGTTTGTGTGTATAATTACAATATGCATAATTAGGAATATAAAACAAAGAAAACAATCATACCACGTAGATGATATGTCCATCGACAATAAATTGTCTCATCATGTTGAGTATGTAAATCTCATATTGAGTTATGAGATAATAAGGAGGTGCAGGTTCGAAGGTCAGTCTTAAGGTGTTGTATTTTGGGAAGGCTTGGTAAAATGCAATAAAAGGGTTCCATGTCTCTGCTAAATGGCAAATAAACAAACAGGCAGCGAAAGAAAGAAAGAACAAACAGAACTGTTAGTTTATCCTTTTAAAGAATGATGATTATCCCTGAATGTATGACATGAATAGTGACAGTTTGTTTTTTTGTAAATGGATCTTTCCTTATATTCGTAACAAATATGATAGAATAAAGATGGTAAGCAACAGACTATTTTCGTAAATGTAACCAAATTGAATTTAAGGCATAGGTCTTCGTGAAGGGCCTAGCTATAATTAAATTATTTCATTCACCAATAGTCAGAATGCAAAGTGCATTATAGTACGAGTTCTTAGGTAAGATAAGCCATAATTATTCCTAACAGGTGAATGAAATATTTATTTTTATGGCATTTCACAATCGTATGCATTAAATTTTGTTATATTATATATTATATCGAAAATGGTCTATCAAGACAAATAGGAGTTCACAAGCAAATCTGTCAATGAATTTACAGTATAGAAGTCCTTTAAAAAAAGAGAGTTGGGAATAACTAATAAGAAGGCCTAGGACTTAGGTATACTTTCAATGGCATCAAACGGTCCAACACCCTTATAAGAGTAATGTATAATGTTGGTTTGAAATATTATCAATTTTATTTATTAATGGGTAATGTATGCGGTGTCTATTTGAATATGGGAAACGTTTTTCTCGTGATAGCCTAACTGACATGTTTTGTGGCCTACATGATTTTCGTTTAAAGTTTCAACTTTCTAATTTTGACTTTAAAATTAATATTAGCTGCCAATATTCTATGGAAATCGTAATGTGGTGAGTGTCTTTTCCAGCTTTGAAAACAAAAAACACAAGCCCTTACCTTTTTGTTTCTTCTGACAATATTTATCCGTCCACGTTCTTACAGGATCGTCACAAACTGTTAAAAAATTGGAAAAATATAAAATAAAGAATCTTGATTCTTTTAAATTCTGAAATGAAAAAGGACGAGACGCACATGTTTTTAATTTCACGACCATTTTCAGCTTAATTTACCAGTGAATCAATTTCACCTTTATAATCATTCATATCAAAGCTATTTAGTTAACATAATGTCTTTATTTTAACCAACCTCTCGTATAGAATTTGGGTAGCTGAGCAAAGCAAGGTAGGGTTCGTAAAACTGCGACAGGCAGCGAAAAGCGTTAACATTTGAAAGTAAAGCAGATGAATTAAAAAATATAAAATACTTACTTGAAATAGGGAAGATCTCTGTTTAACAGCGGGCATCTGAGCAAAGCAAGTTAGGGTTCGTAAAACTGCGACATGCAGCGAAAAGCATTAACATTTGAAAGTAAAGCAGATTAATTAAAAAATATAAAATACTTACTTGAAATAGGGAAGATCTCTGTTTAACAGACCAGTGTATGAATTTTCAATAATTTAAGATTAAAATATAAGGGATAAACATACCAGGTACTTTGACATATGATGTGACGGTCTGATCATCTACCAAGGTACAATTCTCATTTTGGAATGGTAGAGAACGGATTTTCAAAGTGTAATCGTAATTAGGTCCGCCGTCACTTATCTTCAGATCGCAGAAGCAGTCGAAATGAAAAAGCCTCTGAAATGACAGAGGGATTAAATGATGACAAAGGTAAAATGTGTTATATTCGGAATGTATATTATAGTCAATGTGATCACTGGTTGCAGTCATTAGCTCATGGGCACATCTTCATGTGCGGGCTGACGCCACACGCTCGAATTCTAACTTTCCTGTTTCTAAACTTCTCGCTGCCTGAAGGACATTTGGGCATCTCATTGCCCGAATGTGACAAATATTCTAGCACCTCGTTGCCTGAATATGATGGTTGCCCGAATATCGAAACTATATAAATCCTCGGGGTTGCAGCCCCTATATACACTCTAAAAACTTAAATGTTAAATGTCAATTTAAAAGGGCCGAGGAGTGACCACTCTTTCAAAATGTCAGATTGTTCCTTTAACCTGCTAGATTCAACCTTTATAGTGTTGGATCCAACATGTTCAAAGTGTTAATCTACCATTTTGAAAGAGTGGTCACTCCTCGGTCCTTTTAAATGGTGATTTAACATTTCAGTTTTTAGAGTGTAGCCAACCCCGCCTCGTACACTTATGGTTATACTAGTAGTAGCCATGGTAAAGTTCCAATTCTTCCTAGACCATAGGTCCTCTAGATGATTATCTAAAGTCCAATTTATTATTATATATTATATTCCACATACTAAGAATCTTGCTCTACGATTGGTCATAAGTAAATCACGTGATTAAAGATAGTTCGCCCATCATTGATGGGAGAAGCAAAACTAGCTAAACAACTTTGGGGTTTTATTTCATTGTAGATAAGCCTTGGGTTCTGGTTATGATGAAAACTAAATTCGTACAGCTTCTCACGAATTACAGCCACTGTTACATAGCACCAATAATTTGTCAATGAATGAGTACTATGAATCGAGTAAAGAAAATAAATGTTGAAGTAGTCGTCCCGATCGTGTATCGAGTAATGATCGTAAACAGAGTCCAATAGGTATTCCTTAATTGTTGTGAATGAATATAGTTGATTTGTAATTTATTGTTAGAAACAGAAATAAAGTTGAATTGAATTGAATTGAAGGGTCATGGTTTCTGTAAGATGACTTTTAGTAAATATTTTGTTGTACATTTGACGGCCATAGTCACTGGTCTGCCGTATGGATTATTCAAGTTCCATCTAACGAATTCAAGGTTAGCTTTAAATGAGATGAAACTAAAAGAAAACCGCACCTCCCCTTCAATATCCCTTTATTAGCCATGCATGTGAAACAAAAGCAAAAAAGTGCGAGCGTGACATCTTTTACCTATATAGTTAAAATAGCAAACTTCACATGCAAACAAAGACCAAACAGGCCACATACAAAAGGTTCCAGAGTTACTGATGTACTATTTGTTTTGCTTTCGATAAATAAATTACTCTCGCTTCAATGACGTCCTATTTGTTATAATCGTAATTAATGACATTGCATGCACAAATTTATGGCCACTGTTTTTATTGTTTACATTGTACAAAACTCAGTACGTGCAAGAAAAAGAGAAGATTTTACCTAATAATAAAAATGTGCCTCTATGTTTATAGACTGAGGACCTTAAAGTAATCACTTTGTAAAATTACTATTCTATCAAATGTGATGTTTTGATAACGATCAGAGATGTATCATCTTTTTTTCATCTTATATTCCTCGCTTCAAATAAATAATGAGTTTTAGAGTAAGGATAACAACAAAATTAATTACCAGTGGCATATCCAGAAAAAGATGAACTAGGGGGGGGGGGGGGGGCGGTATTCTTTCTGTCTAAGCGAGTGTAAATTACATACATCAATATGGGATGGTGCGGACTACAGAGACCTCTGTTCAACCTTATCTTAAAGTTTAAAACAAGGGGGGGGGGGGAGTAAATCATAATTATCGTCTTTGCTTTATTCAGCTGAAACCTTTGATTGCAACATTTCACCATAATATATAGCAAACCCCTTTTCATAAAAGCATACACAACGTATATTTTACTCAATATAAATAATGCCGGAGTTCTAAAAACTTGTCATGAAAGAGGGTGTATATAATCTGACACGTTGGGCTTGGTATTTGCAATCCTAAGTGGAATCGCAATGTCATATGTTTTAAACATGAAGAAGTGATACTGTACTGTTTTTAAAACTCACATTTCTGTTCTCAGTTGTGGTGTCAAAGAGAGATGAACTGGTCAATCTTGTTGTAAAGTTCAGTCTAAAGCACTCTTCATAATCACCATCCCAATGATCTTCGAGGGTGAATAACAATCCTTCAAGATTGGAAGCGCCTACAAAATATAAGAAGCAGTAGTTTACTTGATACTGATTATGAATATGCATTGTATTAATATAATATTTGTGTCTACGTCTCAAAGGTTTTTTAAACATTGTCAAATCATGACGCATAGGCAAATATCAAAATGGACTTGAGGAATTAAGCTACCCGGCGAGACATGCTCCACATGTACATGTAATATATACCTGTGTGAACAAAATAGCCTGCTTTTATTATTTATATTGTTCTAATTTCCACAAAACATTGTTTGAAGCTTGAAATATACATGTTAAATCATATATAAATCAAACATGGCGAATAACCAACTTCAAAAGCATAATACCACTGTTTTTCCACGGAGTCTTACAAACACCTCTCATCAATATCCATGAACATGTACATACAAATATATTGAACACAAAATGAAAGAATCTTTGTAGTAGTATTTTTTCATTGATCCAAAGAGCGGAACAATAGTGGTACTGAAAACACACCTTACTAAGCACACAACCTACCACCATGTCTACTATTAAAGCTGCTTATACAGAATATGTTACTGTCTAAAGGCTAATTTTGGAGGGGGAGGGCTAAGTAAGTGTATCGCCCCTCTATGGATTACATCAATATATAAACCAAAATGCAAATTTTCTTGTTGCAACATACCATCTCTTGTGTCGTATAAAATGTATGAAATACACGATACTTTACATAGCTAAAATTAGTACCTTTTACCTACTTTCGGATCGTAAACAAGTTTTGTTTAAACACAAGTGAAACAATGTTAAGTTTCGGTTTCTTTGAGACAGAGTAATTTCTATTATAGGGAAGGACATGGGTTGATACGCATGAATTCCACCGTGAAGTTGTCGTATAACGTGATACAATTGCAGTAGATTGCAGTAAAATGATGGTTCCAATGGATTTTAATACATCTATTCATGAATACTGTTTGAAAAACCGCAAACCCCTGTTATTTTCAATGATAAACCAGGCATGAAGACAGACAAAAGGATCATCCGCTTGATGCACTGGGAATGTATGTGAGCAATATACTGATCTTTATGAGCGTGTATATGAATTATGATCGGGGTGAGAAGTTATCGTGCCTAAACAAAAGAAATTAGTGCAAAAATTGTATTGTTGTGAAGTAATTTGACGTTGGATGAACAATTACTAGTACTTACTATGGCGATTGATTTCAAATGTGATATTTAGACAAGTGATGACGTCCCCGTTATCTTCCATGGCCCCGTAGAAGCCAGTCTTCACTTCATAAACTTTTTCTGCATGTTCCGTGTTAGTTTTCCGAACGATGTCGTCCAACTGGCAATCTAGAGAATAGACAATTTTGAAGATTTCATTTGAATTTAACCGTATCAATCTTCAAATCTCAACAAACTGAAACATAATATGAAACCTTTCAATAAGGACAAAAACTATATATTATGACGTTTTAAACGGCTTTACTCTCTTCTTTTGTAATTTACTTGGATGTACATTGTTTTTCGGTACATTGTTCCGTATTTCCTGTATGTTATATTTGTTCTATAGTCGTTTTTTCTTTCTTTTTGTATAGGCTGCTTCGGGGGATTTATGTTAACTTTAAGAATCTTTAAAAGAATCAGAGCCCATAAAGAGCTGAAATGATAATTAAAGAAATTGTCAATGTAAGTATCAACCAGGACATCGTTCACAAAACCGTCATAATTTTACAAGTTCACCGACATCCCATTAAAAAGGCTCGTTAATTACAATACGTGGGTGGGCTTATATCCCATTAACCTTGATTTATTATTATGTGTAAAATCCTTCGACAATCGCATGTCTTTTTACAACAATTTAATCGAAGGCCAAATTTCAATAGTTGATTTATTGAAGAAATGACTAAAAACAGGAACGAATCATCTCAACAATCAAACCACAATACTTGTCTTTTATCTTTTAAAATAATTCAATGAATATTGTATTTGCTCTGTTTTAAAGGAATGAATTCCAATAACATATTTCAAACAATTTTTCTCTTGTTTTCTTCTCAGTTCTCGGAGATACGTGGCATTGATGTGAATCGAACTAAATTAGAGGTATTGAGATACACGCTGATTCTTCTAGCCGTCGTTCACACTTCATCACCATTCAAAACCACCAGGTAAATAGTAGTTATTTGGCAGTCAAAACCATACTCCACTGGACTAACAGCGTGACCAATCCGAAGGTCATAGTGATATCAATAGCATTCGTTCCACTTTGATTCACGATGATCATCCATAACCCCCTGGATCAATATAGCATTTATAAGAATAATGTTACACCCAAAAGCGGCCTCCTTTTCTTGATAATAGATCTGATCGTGAACACGGAGCAGGATAATAAAGAACAGAATCCACAACAAAAATATATTTGTTAACCATCATAGTTCGAGGTGTTTCTAAGCGCATTGTACTTGTCCACCCATGATCGTGTTAATGCGTCCAACTTGGAAACCCTTCCGTCTATTATGGGTAAAAACTATTTCGCAATCCCCTCAATGTGTAAAATCTTACCTAAACAGTGTTCTGTTGTTTCTGTTACCATGTACTGGTATACTGGTTCGCCATTCTGAAAAAGAGGACATTAGATGAAACGTACAATAAATCTTGGAGGCAATGTTTTGAAACATATGGTTATACTTTTAATGAAGTGTTCTTTGAGCACGTCAACTCCACATACATAGGCAAAGGGTAATATCCATGCTCCTTTAAAGTGTTGGGGGCCCCAAATTCGCCAAAGATTTGATGGCAAAATATCACATTTAACTTAAGACACACTTCTGCAAAGATCGCCCAAAGTGTTTGAAGACAAATATTGATAAAAGAATACATAATTTGGGTCTGTTGTACGCAGAAAACCTAAATTTGTATTCTTCTATCATTATCGACTTCAAACACATTTGTTTTGAAAATCCTTGCAGAAATGTGACTTAAATGTCATCCTCTTTTATATTATGATACAATTTAAGTGACATTTTGGCATCATATTGTTTGAGCTTCAAAGGGGTTTTAAAGGTACTATTTCCCATTTGCAGCCAACATCAAATTAACTTTGCAGGATTTATGAATATGTCACGTAGGCCTATGTCCTTTCTGTGAAATGTAAACGTTGAAAGTGTCCTGATAATCAAATTATGCAAGGAAACCCATTTAGACACTATTGAGTGACTGACTGACTTTTTTTATATAAAATTTGGTAATAACATACATAAAATGAGCTGAAAAGGGTTCATTAGCATTTTTCTACATCAATAACCCACTTTTTGTAATGGCCCAAATTAAACTTAATTAATCTTTGCGCAGCCCAAAACGTAGGACCATTCGGTACAAGGGTCTGAAAATCAGACTATAACTAGATAGATTGCAATTACTAAAGTCGATTCGACAACCAATGGTCGTTATTTTCCCATTAAAGACATTTTCAGGCCCTTTCGTTTTGAGGGAAGTTCTAAATTAGTATTATCTTTCAAATGCCGTTGGAATTTAACATTTTCATGTTTTGGCCTACAAATGGGACATAGTACCTTTAATGTACCCATGGGTGTCGATCCTTACGTAATACCTATTCATCAGGGGGGGGGGGTGAATGAATAGATCATCCCCCCCCTGATGAATAGGTATCAGTTACAGATCGACACCCATGAATGTACCTCAGTAAAAAATAATGAGATCGACCCAATCTCGACTACAGACTGAACAAAATATTACATAACCCCCAATAGCTAAACTTCGGTCGGTGTGGCGGTGTGAATGACACTATGAACATGCCGGACAAGGAAAGCGGACAAAATATACAGTTCCTCAGGTAGACAAAGGAACATCCCTTCACTGCTATTATGTAAAAATGTGTAGAACAGGTGAATATGCATGTGACACCTGTTCTACACATCTTTACATAATAGCAGTGAAGGGATGTTCCTTTGTCTACCTGAGGAACTGTATATTTTGTCCGCTTTCTGTGTCCGTTATGTTCATAGTCAGTGTGAAGTATAACGCTTTCATCGCAGTCTGTTGAACTATATAGGCACAAACATCTTGAATTTTAGAACAATCAAAGGTCTTGGAATCGTTCCTTTTCATTGATATATCACATTTTTTTCCTTTTTAGACATGTTGGAGGCAAAGTCCACTCCAAAAGTAATTTGCTTTTAATAGAACAAGAGAAACAGAGCAAACAAAAATTGAGTAAAATCGGATAACTAATAAAGAAGCTATGAATTTTTAAAAAAGTATGAAAAAGTATGGAACAATGGAAATCACTACATAAATTGCCAATTTGATTTATCAGTTTGTGATGTCAGTGCCTCACTATTTATCAATCGCTTTATACACTTTTATTTTTTATATAAAAATTTGATTTCGCCATGCCTTTGCCCAGGTTTTATGATTTGTATCATATTGCGTGCATGACATTTCAAAATGACACTCAAAATCTTTTATGAACTTTGAAGAATTGATACTTTTTTCTAAATATTGTATATTCATAATCATTGATTTTATATAAATAGTTAATAAAAATTCAATTTTTCAGGATTTAACTGAAAATAATTACTCCATATTAGTGCATCCACATAAAAACATATTACTATCAATACAACTGGGATGCTGGTGTGAGGAAATAAAATTATTAGGGGGGAAATGGGACATTTATATTATCAATTTAAAGAAAATAATGAGTAGATGGTGAGGCAATGACGTCACAGACTCATGAGTGAGTTGCCAATTTGTCTTGTGATTTTCAAGTGTTTCATGTCAATAAAAATGTTCTTATTAGTTATCCGATTTTGCTCAAAATGATTGGTTTGTCTGATTTTTCTGCTACTATTGAAAGTAAGTTGTTTTTGGAGTGTACTTGCCCTCTAAAGGAAATCCAATCATAATATAACATAATAACTTTACTAAAAGAAAGCAGAACTTAAAAACAAAGAAGCGGACTGATTTAAGTTTGAACGAAATCAGGATAAAAATAAGAAAGTTATGAATCTTTGAAAGGTGTATTCGCTATACGTATAGTACAAAAAATCTGTAACATGAGTATGAGAACCTATAATAATACACTATAATATGCTATAATATCCACACTATAATTGAGTAGTGCCCGAAGCTTTAGAAGAAGGCGCTTAGGAGAAAACAGAAATTAATGATATTTTGTAAACGAGAAACGGTTGAGTTTTCCGTGACTGCGTCACTATCCACTCGCATTTAGATAAAGTGATCCCATACTACAAACACTCATAACTCTCTCATTATTAGTCCGATTTATTTCAAACTTTCCCCTTTCTATTTCTTTAATCTCTCATACAAAGGTAATTATTACAAAGATTTGATTGCCCTTTGAGGATAAAACACTTTGGATCAAATCAGAATGGGAGTGATCTGTGATCCTTTGAAATAAAAAGGTTCCCTTAACAATTAAACATCTTCCAGGTTAACAATTATATCGAACATCGTGAAAATCTAGTGGAGTGTAATAGGTCATCTTCATCACTAATGTCATACTTATGTCAATGTCATACAGTATATGTTTTATTTATCATCAAGCGCTTTATGACAAGACAAACTCTACCCTCCCTCATCCCAAAACAAATCTGAAATTGTGAGGAAAATTTGATGTTTTGAAAAATGAATGATTCAAAATGTGTCGCAATCCTTATGTTGACATGGAATAATGTGATTAAAATTTCCCCTTTCTATTGTTCATCGAACACACGACAGTTTACAACTTATTGTCCTTCATAATTTTATATACCACGGCTTTCCCCCTTTTTTGATTATGGTCTCTTCTTTTCTATGGGCTTCTTTCACCGCCTGGTACAGTGCAAGGAATGCTCAGCTATTTAGTGATAAGAATCGCTATTGTGGCTCACAAGTTTGATCTTTTATTAAAAAGAATGGCATGATCTTCATAAAAACAGGATCCGATAAGCCTCATTGCCCATCAATCATATATGTAATAGCTTGTATGGGTTTCGATGCGAATGCATGGTATGTTTGCGATTTGCACTTTATTACCCAGATCACTCGTGCATTGTGTTCTTTCTAAATGTTGTCATTTCGTAATACTAAAATGCATAGCATCTCGGTTAGTAATGTAACAGAACTATATTCCACCCTGCATAATCATAAGCAAAAATATATGAGTAAAATGCTATTAGTAATTAGTTCAATAATTTCATGTTTGAAAGGGAATCTTTATTCAGAGAGTAACCCAAGTCACGTTGAAATAAAAATTAGATAAAGTATCAAAGCGAATAAGTCGATGGCTGCTACCATGGAAAGCGGAAGCGTAATGATAAAAAGAAATGAAATTACTTACCCCTCTTGCGCTCCAAGAATAACTGTTTAAACAAGTATTATCTTGTTCGGTTACAAGGGCACAACTTCTCCCAACATGAAGAGATAGAACCAACACGATTGCGACGGTGGTTAACATCTTCCCGTCATGCGATTCGAAAGTGAGTATCTCGAACGATGATTTATGAATAACGAAGACAATCAGCAGAGAAGACAGCAATACCACAGCTCATTACAGGCAGCTATTTCCATGCTCAAAATCTCTCGGAGAAAAAACATCGACTTGTTTCTTCGACTTTTAGCACTGATATGAAGGTAACAATGGTTTTTTTTCCCTTTCGAGGTTTCCCTTTGTTAATGTGCGCTAACTCCCCCAGCTTTCGAGCTGCGTGCATCCAACCATAAACTTCAGCGTGAGGGCGATAATCATGAGCCACATTCGCTTTTCTGTTGGTTCTTGTTTGATCCAGCTTTTTATTGGAGAGAGGAGTGTGGCTGTTGTCAAAGATATTAAATGTGTGCCTGGTATACCCAACGACCAGATGCAAAAGATTTGATTTTTAATACTAGTCTAGCAACCATTGTTTCCAAACGATGCTCACAGAGTTTCAAGATCAGGCCCCCCCCCTCCTCCAAAGGGAAGGGAAATGGGGTGACATAACGACAGGTGCAGATCACTCTCCAGGTGCCAGGACTTACTGCCTGAAATGTTACGAATTATAGGATTTCAGTTAACTATATTCATGTAATTACTGAAACATTAAGGAAACCTTGTTTCTCAAAAATGGAAAGGTTCATTATTTTCGGAGGTTCGTGTCACACATTTTCAAATACCAGTAGGTTTTAAAATTAACAAGATTGGTATTCCTATCTATTACAAAAAGTTTTTAAAACAGAATGTAACTTGTTTAAATATCATGACGAAAATGAAAACGGATTTTTTACATTCTTTTAAGATGATAGTGCGTCTATATATTCAGAAATGAAAAATTTCGAAAATGTAATATGATTCATAATTCTGAAAAGCATAAAGAAAATAGAATCACTATTCCATTTCATTTAAGTTTTTTCATAATTATTATTATTTTTTATTTTTTTGGGGGAGGGTGTTTTCCAAATATTTTTATAAAAATGAAGATGTTTGCGTCCCCTAAAATTATCAATCCGGACGTCCCTGTGAAAATAAAAATTTGGCTAGCGTTGATTATTGACATTACAATGACTTCTCATTCTCAACATGTTATTGTATAATTACAATTTGTATATTATGGTATAGAGGGCGCTACATAAACTAATTTAAACTTTGTGAGATAATGAAAAACTGAGTATCAAGTATGAAAGAGCATTCAATTTTAATGACAAAACCTTAACAAAATGTCATGGATGGAATTTGTCAGGGGGACGATTACCTTCACTTGCCCTCTTGAAATAGTTTGCTTTTTATAATCAACTATTCACAATTATCATTACCTGTTTAATATATTTTTGTATAATTATGTTGTATTATTTTGTTCATCCAGAAGCAGGACCTCCGTGGCACTGAATGGGACTACTAAGACATACTTAATAAATGAATAAATGCATAAATGAATATATGGATAAATGTATACACCAATAAATAAATAAATAAATGAATAACGAACAAAAACAGTGTTAAAATGTCATTACGGAATACTTTTATGTCGAGACCGAGGGGTTCTATATTACAAATTACCGAGTCCTCATTCATATTCTACTGAAAGACAAAACAAAATTCTTATATTGTTTGCACTTGAACTGGAATAGCGCAGTATGGCAGTTAACCCCACCCTTCAAAAAAGGGAAGGCTGACGTCTCTTGCCCAGATATCAATCTTCCCGTTTAATATTTTGCGAGAGAACAGACTATCCCGCGGACAAATCATCCCTGACAAACTATAACACCTTGAACATCAGTTTTTCTGAGGGGTAGTTGTCACGAAGGATTTTTTTTTTTGTGGGGAAAACACAATCACAAAGATTTTAAAAAAATCATCTGAAGGGCATATTTACAAAAAATCTGAAAACCTCGAGCGTCTTTGTTTCTTCTTCTTTTGTTGTTATCAATCTCTATATCTCTCTCGTTCTCTTTCTCTCTCCCTCTATCACTCCCTCGTTCTATCTTTCTTTCTCTCTCTCCCACCTTCTCTCACTTCCACTCTCCCCTTTCCTTCACACGTCACTTCAACTGTCTTTTTTGATTATCTCCCTCATTCTACAGTTCTGTCACCTCTCTCCCTCCCCCCCTCTCTCTCTATCGCTCTCTCTCTCTCTCTCTCTCTCCATCCTCTTGCTCATGCTTTCTTGATTATTTAACACCAATTATATTTGTAAAGATAAAGTAAAATGTAATAGTATTTAACAAGACACGGTGTATTTTATGAAGTAGGCCCTATGTTAATATTTGTTTCTGTGCAGAGCCCTGTGAAAGACCGGTACTTTCTATATCTTTCATACGTATTTTCTATTTCAATTGCTCTTTATTTTACCTGAATTGTTATAATCTTATATTTTTGTAAGTGAACAGGATAACGAGGTTAAATAAATAAATAAACATCTAAATAAAAGAAATATGCCTTTTTTTTAAATGTGACGCGCAAGGCAAGGTGATTTAGGGCTATTTGCTAAAGGTGGTAACTGAGCAAGGGAGGGGGAGGGGGGGGGGGGGTTCAGCATATTGTCTTGTCATAAAGCATAAGGTGTACTTACTTGAGTGTAGGGTTAGTTTTCTACACAAGACATCAACAGATTACGTTCTATTGAGCGCGAACATCATATTATCCTGATATTTTGTAATATAAGTAAATTGTATATAGAGGTAATGAAATGTAATCAACATCTTTAGCATGTAAAATGAAATACGTTTAAAAAATAATATATTTTATTAATTTATTACTCATTTCTTTAACAACAATAACCAGGTTACCAATGCGGTATCTTTGGCAATAACATGTGGTCTACCACAGAGCCTTGTATATACAAATATGTACACTGTCAGCCACATCAGACAATTCGAACAAACAAAACCTGTAAGCCTGTTTGAGGAAGCTACCTTATACCATTCAAGCATGAAACTATTATTTCATACGCCAGGCTATAAAGGAAAATACACAGTTCAGATGCATTAAACATAAACAATATAAACTTTTAACTAAAAAGATATTAGTTAAATCCTTTATTGAATGCATCGCGATAGCTCAGTTGGTAGAGCAGTGGTCTCGTAATCTGGTGACCCGGGTTCGAAACCAAGTCGATGCGCTAGTGCTCTTTGGGTAAGGCGTTAATCCTCATTACCAGGTCCCCCGGAGAGTACCGAAACCCGTCGGCCATCTGGTTACTTACATGCATTTATGCTTTCTTAGCAGTCAGGTAAAATAACCACCGATAACATTTTAGTCAAATCAGTTTTACCATACATCCGACCTTCGATATAATTATTCAAATAGTGAAAACTAATATTTATATTGTGATTATATAATATTTCATCATCACCAAGGGCAGACTGAGATTAAAAGTATAATTATAATCTGTTTAGACACTGAACGTTAAAAAATCAGTGTGTTTACTTCATATATACAGAGTAAATTACTGGACGAGAAACAATGAAAGACATTAATTTACATATTCCGCACGTCGATTTATATACGATATTTCTAGAAGAGACAATTACTAGACGAGACAATGAAAGACATTAATTTACATATTCCGCATGTCGATTTATATACGATATTTCCAGAAGAGACAATTACTAGACGAGACATTGAAAGACTTTCATTTACATATTCCGCATGTCGATTTATACACGATATTTCCAGAAGAGACAACTACTAGACGAGACATTGAAAGACATTCATTTACATATTCCGCATGTCGATTTGTATACGATATTTCCAGAAGAGACAATTACTATACGAGACAATGAAAGACATTCATTTACATATTCCGCATGTCGATTTGTATACGATATTTCCAGAAGAGACAATTACTAGACGAGACAATGAAAAACATTCATTTACATATTCCGCACGTCGATTTATATACGATATTTCTAGAAGAGACAACTAGACGAGACAATGAAAGACATTCAATTACATATTCCGCACGTCGATTTATATACGATATTTCAAGAAGAGACAATTACTAGACGAGACAATGAAAGACATTCAATTACATATTCCGCACGTCGATTTATATACGATATTTCAAGAAGAGACAATTGCTAGACGAGACAATGAAAGACATTCATTTACATATTCCGCACGTCGATTTATATACGATATTACTAGACGAGACAATGAAAGACATTCATTTACATATTCCGCACGTCGATTTATATACGATATTCCAAGAAGAGACAATATTACTAGACGAGACAATGAAAGACATTCATTTACATATTCCGCACGTCGATTTATATACGATATTTCTAGAAGAGACAATTACTAGACGAGACAATGAAAGACATTCATTTACATATTCCGCACGTCGATTTATATACGATATTTCCAGATAGACGAGACATTGAAAGACTTTCATTTACATATTCCGCATGTCGATTTGTATACGATATTTCCAGAAGAGACAATTACTAGACGAGACATTGAAAGACATTCATTTACATATTCCGCATGTCGATTTGTATACGATATTTCCAGAAGAGACAATTACTAGACGAGACAATGAAAGACATTCATTTACATATTCCGCATGTCGATTTGTATACGATATTTCCAGAAGAGACAATTACTAGACGAGACAATGAAAAACATGCATTTACATATTCCGCACGTCGATTTATATACGATATTTCAAGAAGAGACAATTACTATACAAGACAATGAAAGACATGCATTTACATATTCCGCACGTCGATTTATATACGATATTTCTAGAAGAGACAACTAGACGAGACAATGAAAGACATTCAATTACATATTCCGCACGTCGATTTATATACGATATTTCAAGAAGAGACAATTGCTAGACGAGACAATGAAAGACATTCATTTACATATTCCGCATGTCGATTTATATACGATATTTCCAGAAGAGACAATTACTAGACGAGACATTGAAAGACTTTCATTTACATATTCCGCACGTCGATTTATATACGATATTTCTAGAAAAGACAATTGCTAGACGAGACAATGAAAGACATTCATTTACATATTCCGCATGTCGATTTATATACGATATTTCCAGAAGAGACAATTACTAAACGAGACATTGAAAGACTTTCATTTACATATTCAGCACGTCGATTTATATACGATATTTCCAGAAGAGACAATTACTAGACGAGACATTGAAAGACTTTCATTTACATATTCAGCACGTCGATTTATATACGATATTTCTAGAAGAGACAATGAAAGGCATTCATTTACATATTCCGCACGTCGATTTATATACGATACTTCTAGAAGAGACAATTACTAGACGAGACAATGAAAGACATTCGTTTACATTTTCCGCATATCGATGTATTATATACGATAGTTCTTGACGAGACGAGATAATGGAAGACATCAATTTGCATTTTCCGCACCTCGATGTATATAATATATACATTGTGTATAATATTTCACCATCACCAAAGGCAGACTGATATGAAAAATTGATTATTATCTGTTAACATGGAAAGTTAAAAAAAAACAAACGTATATTTAGTTCATATATGCAGAATAAGTTACTAGACTAGACAATGAAAGACATTAATTTACATATTCCGCACCCCGATGTATATACTAACCGCCTGTATGAATGTCGAATACGATATTCATGTTTTGTGCTATAAAAAAAAGAAGATAATTATGAATGGAGTTAGGAAATCATTGAATGTTGACAAGAGATATATTCCAATGACATGTGTTCATCATCAGTATAACTAACCTATTAATAGATATATTCCATTGTGTTCATCTTCCGTCTAACTAACCAATCAATAGATGCATTTCATTGACATTTTTCCAGCATCAGTCTAACTAACCAATCAACAGATATGTTTCATTGACAGTGTGTTCATCATCTGATTCAGTATAACTAACCTATCAGTAGATAACGTTTCATTGACATTGTTCTCAGCATCAGTCTCACTAAGCAATCAAGAGATATATTCCATTGACAGTGTGTTCTTCATCTGATTCAGTATAACTAACCTATCAGTAGATATGTTTCATTGACATTTTTCCAGCATCAGCCTAACAAACCAATCAAGAGATACATTCCATTGACATTTTTCCCAGCATCAGTCTAATTTACCAATCAATAGATACATTCCATCGACATTGTTTTCAGCATCAGTCTCACTAAGCAATCAAGATATATATTCCATTGACAGTGTGTTTCTCATCTGATTCAGTATAACTAACCTATCTATTATGTTCCTTCGACATTGTTTTCAACATCAGTCTAACTAACCAATCAAGAGATATATCCGTTGACATTGTGTTGATCTTCAGTCTAACTAACCAATCATTGAAGGATATATTCCATTGACAATGGCCCCTGATCATCATCAGGTTGGCCATCAGAGAAACCCTCTTCACTGTCCCGTCGATTAATGTCATCTCTACATAACAACGTAGAGTTCTCTCTTCCGGTATAGCGATACTGGTCGGAGTTTGTTTCCGTAACACTCATGTATCCTGAAGATGGATGATTTATGGTTGGTAGTGATTTGTAGCACTCCGACTCCAGGGACCTATGTTGTTTTACATGTCTGGTTATCTCTGGATGTTTCCGAGCCTGGCTACAGTAGACATTAGAGCTGTTGACAGATAACTGACTGTCTGTATAGTTTGTAATAAGACCTATTGGAACACCGTGCTCCTCACCCGATGAGATGGAACAAAACCCGTGTTTCGTATATGTAGCAACAGGCTCCTTTGTATCTATATGAGAAAGAGGGAGAGTCAGAGACGGAGACAGAGACGGGGACAGAGCAAGAGACAGACAGAGGGACAAAGAAAGAGGCAGAGAGACACACACACACAGAAAGAGAGGGAGAGAGAGAGAGAGAGAGAGAAAGAGAGAGGGAGGGAGGGGGGGGGAGAGAGAAAAGAACCACAATAATGTATAATCCTAATATTCTGCACTATTTAATTAAGATAAATATTCAACGTTCACGTAAAGAAGACCAATGCCAACACCCTACAATGTCTTCCTAACATCACAAAAGCTTAAATACTGGGCATATGCAGCGACATAGGTGGGCATCATGTGAACAAATTATTCTTCCAAAATAAAGATGTACATGAGATTTGATTTTCTTCATTTTCAAACTTGCTTTCTTATATCTGATCCTTTTTTTGGTAGATAGAATTGTCAATTTGACGTTACTTCAAAAGTGAAATGGCATTGTTACCTGATAGATTGGTTCCACGACGTCTCTTTGTATAGACGAAGTAGAGGCCTATCCCCAGAATGATTAAGAAGAAAGTTCCCGCTGCACAGGACGCTCCTATTACCAATGCCAAGGAAACTGATTTATCTGCAACTTAAATAAAAGCACATGCATACGCAATGATAATATAAACTAAATATCCATACAACATAATATACGAACAAGGGTAATATATAGGCAGCGTGCAAAAATATTAGAATAATCCAGCTGATTAATTACTAAAAATGGAATGGATTGGCGAACCATCGATAGTTAGTTAAACTCGAATCTACGTTATACTCGAACATATAATTGAGGCATTTGTATCATTGCGTTATCTCCATGCATCCTATTGTATCAATGCAGAAATATTATCATGACTTTATGCCTATCGGAAAGCAAGAGTAACTATCAATCTAATCGTGTTTGAATGATCCTCTCCAAAGAATTCTCTTCATATTTCATTTGCTTAACAGATAGAGGTGTAGTGGTGTAGTGGATACGCCGCCGGACTGTAGATCACCAAGGAGTAAGAATTATACCTCCTTGGAATCAATCACAAAGTCATGGTTTGCTTCGAGTCCCACCGCGGCATTAATCTACATTTGCCACACTCCACTCAGGTGAGGTAAATGGGTACCCAGTAGGAAGAAATTAATTGAATGCTAAAGCCGGGTTGATAATATGATTGCAGGGCCCTCAGGGAGAATGAGGCTACCTTGGGTAAACTAGCAAAAAGATCATTATTATTATAATTATTAAAACTGATTTTGTGCGATAAAAAGCTCGACCTGATACGTGGAGACATATACATACCTAATTTGACATGGACATAGAAGGTACATACAGCCACAGCCCCATACTGCCACGCATAGTAACTAACTGTTGTTTTCTGACCAACTACGAAGGTACTCTCCATTGGGGTGTGAGTACTGTTGCTACCGAACTGGCAGTTGCTTTGGAAGCTCGGCACAGGAACTGTCCAGTTGATGCCCTTCACCATATCTCCTTCAAAGAACCTGCCTAGCTGTACTTCGTGGATGACTTCATCACGTGGGCATTCCATAAATGAAGGCGGTGCCCCTAATAAAAAAAATATTACATCGGTTTTTACTTAATATGATATTCAGAAAATAAGAGAAACAAACGATTCCTCAAACTGTCATACTACTATTTTCAATACATTTGTTTACATATACAAAATATCTTAATTCAGGGTTCATGAACATTAAAATTTAAATATATCCTTTGAATGGAAGGAGACGCACAGGACTACAGAATACAATCTTCACGTGACTTTATAGAAATAAGCCTGTAGTATACTGACCTCTGATGCGGATTCCAGTCGTGTATGCGGTACAATATGGACAGTCCTTTGGCTCAATCTAATAAGATAAACGATATAGCAAATTTAGAATCCCAAGAGCTTCGAATATCACATGGATAGTTAATCACTTTTGACCATGATTGATTGAAAGCGTCGGCTGATTTGTTCACAAGTCTTAAATGGATGACACTAGACAAGCGGTTTGAGTTAAGTCGCGTTATGATGATATATAAATGCGTTCATAACTTAGCACCTTCTTACCTTCAGGTAGGCTCAATCAATCATAATGATGTACATGAGCATCATACAAGGCAAATAGACAGTGGATGTTTACGTGTGCCTAGATTTCACATTGATTGTTATAAGTGTAGCCCGATTGTTTCTTCCATATTTGAATGGAATGAGCTAGATAACTCGTTGAGAACGGCTTCCTCTGTAAATTCATTTAAGAGATTGTTTAAACAAAGTTGTAATGTGTGAATGGCTCAGCCGAACATATACTACGTGCATGTTCTGTAATATTAACATGACCTATTAACATAATTGCGACTTAATCAATATTTTTCTTTTGACATTACTGTTTACTAGGTTAATGATTATGTTTATTTTGCAAATGAGTATTTTTTTTTAATTGCTTGTATAAACGTTATAAACGATGTAAATATGTTCATGTTTATGCAGGGCCCCATGGGAGACCACTACTTGTAGGTGAATGGGCTACCCTGTCAAAAGATTAGAAATAAATAAATAAATAAATAAAAAGCGTACTTGAGTTCACTAGTGCAAGGAAACAGATAGGTCAACAGAATGTTTGGACGCTGAGATACAAGTGGCTTTTTGTGGCACGGGATAATTTCAAAGATGTTCCTCGGGGATTATGGTAAATCTGTTTGAGTTATTATTAATCTTTGAATGAAGAATCAATCAATGTCTATCTTTTACTCAGATCTGCACGATTTCTAAACTAGATCGTTTAGGTAAAAGTTTTGGTAAAGATGAAGAAGAAAAAAATGTGAGCTTTCTTACTCCTTTAAATCACAAAGATTAATTATCATAGTGGAAAATGTGTCCTGAACAGAACTGTTTTTCAAATGCCCTTATATTAGAATTATGACAAGAAATAGCTGAAAAGTTTATTTTGTTATGGGCTCATCTACTAATTCAACTGTGCAGCGCATATGATTTTCTGCATGATTGGGTCAATTTCCCTCCATTTTGATCATTCAAAAACCCCATTCTGTATTTCAAAATCAACCTGGCAATTGCTTCCAGGTGATGTAATCGCATGTCTGGTAATCGACTTTATCTTGATCTTTTCTAAACGACATAATGGTTATGGTATCTGACATGTAAAGCACTCTAATAGACCATTTTCGTAATTTAACCAAATATAATTCTTTGTTTGGTGAAGTGCCTCAATACGAATCATTTAATTGAGGCCTACCTGTTACGAATAATAATATTTCATAGTCAGAATGCAAGCTGGATATATTAGTTGTTGCCAAGTATATAGCACAGACCTTACAACATTTAATATATGCATTTTGCATTCTGACTGTTGAAATACAATCATTCGTTACAGGTGACTGAATATTTGTATTGAGGCACTTCACCAAGACGTTATGCTTTAAATGTGGATATATTATGAAAATGGTTTATTGACAACAGTGGTTATGATGATTTTTGCCATACATTATAATAGAGATTGAAGCAGTGCGGTCTTAAACAATAAGATAATACACTTGCAAACGGGCTATATACTCCAATCAAACCAATGAGAGTGACAAAAGACCAAACAAAATGTCAAAATTTGTACCTCCAATGGCCTAGATTTTTCCGCTTATTATGTCGGTGTATGTCATATTTATGAATTAAAAAAAAAAACAGTAATCAGGACCAAGCCATCTACAATTTGTTACTGTAAACTTTTATCGAAAGCAATAGAGAAAATCAAGGGAAAACGCACAGTACCTGACTCTCAATGGAAGGCGAATACATTCCTCCTAATATAGTCATTAGGAAAACTGATTTTTGAATGAAATAACTCAGACAGCGATTGTAAAATGATTGTATATCAAGGGTAAAACAACTTACAAAGAGATAATGTTCTTCTGATGTAGGTTGTAGACATTCAAAGGTCACGTTGGTGCCCCACTTTCCATCGATCTCGTAAAGTTGTGTAGTCTGTTGATTGAACAAGAAACGTATTACTTCATAAACATTTTATTTGAAGCGAAGAGGACTTATTAAAATGACATGGACAATGGATTGCCTCTTATTCCGTATTACTTTCATAAACATGTTATTTGAAGTGAAGAGGACTTATTAAAATGACATGGACAATGGATTGCCTCTTATTCCGTATTACTTTCATAAACATGTTATTTGGTATGAAGATGACTTATTAAAATGACATGGACAATGGATTGCCTCTAATTCCGAGAATAGAAAATGGGTTTATAGATTCCTAGAACTCAGAGTTCAAGGATTACGGATAGGTAATTTTTAGCAATTTCAGCCAATATCATGACTGATATCCCTGATATATCTGATTATATGAAGAATATACAGATACAAATCATGTACAATAAACCAACTTTATTAAGTATTTAAGCAGATAGAGGATAACGCTAGCTGGGTAGCATTTTATTTATTTATTTATTTTTTATTTGAGAAAAAGAAGAAGCCTTCTCTCTACATGCTTGAACCAACAATGCTAACAAATACCGCAAACAGAACAGCAACACGATATTAGCGCAGAATTAGGAACATGAAACAGAATTATGCAGGTTTATTTTGATGGGTTATTAGTGACTCAGGGTTCAAGTCCAAAATTTCAGTTCTAATTTTACCAAAAAAAAAATCATACAGAAACTCGAATTTCTCCCAGAAATAACTCTCATCTGTGTTTTACATTGGTTACTGAATTACTGGTTTGTTCTATGTATTTGCGTTTACTTTGTATAATGATGTAAATCATTGACGTCGATCTTTGACAATACCTACGTTTAAAATGATTTCCTTCGTTTCCAGACCTAGAGTAACATCAAAGCGTTTGAAGTTGTACATTATATCTTCAAAGAGAGTTATGTTCGCAGCAAACGGTGTGTCGTGGACGACTAGATCTGGCTTCCAACCTGTGTAATATCATAACGTAAACCAGAATTATAATGTGGGATTGATTTCGGTACCAATGAACATGCCCTATAAAGAAAACAAATGTCACTTCTCTGGAAAGGATTAGATAGACCGTGTTATGTACTCTTACTTAAGAGGTACACAGATGAATACTCAAGACAGATAATAGCACACGTTTGATACTCGGGTGGTGTAAGATTCCAAAGTAAGTTTATTGCGCAAGGCGCATGTGCAGCTTTACAATATTGTGGCTGATCGTATGACGTCATCAATATATAACAGACCGGCAAATCAAAACAAAATCGAAGTTTGTAAGCATGGTAAACGGTGAAACCTACAATTTTACTTAATTAGTCATCGAAATAAACTATTTGTAAAAGTAAATAGGTTGAGTAGCCGACAAACCTTCGATATATACTTATTACAACAAAAGCAAAAGAATGAACATAGAAGACGCATTGAAAAGTCGATGTGAATAATTTACTTACATGATTTTAAATATCGAGGAATGCGTATTTTTTCAGTTATGACATTATTCCTTTCCTTATCAGAAGGTATTGCCAAGACAGTTACAGTGTAAGAAACCCCTGGTGTCAAGCCAATAAAACCATCGTAGAAGAAAGGATGCTGGAAAAAAAATAACAGAAGAATCAGTACACAAACCATTTCAGCTGTATTTGTCACAAAAAAAAAAATTGTACGTACTATTTACACATTTGTTTAGTCTTATAATAATATACTATAAAATACTACCAGAAAGGGAAAAAATGAAAAGAAAAGTAATTTAGATACTAATTGTAATCTGTTAGATATCAATCCATTCAAAAAATCTGAAAATGTTATATGAATTAATGAAGTATAAATTGTGTTCGTTGCGACATGGACGTTTTCATGTAATATTATTAAATCAACCAAAGATGAATATCACTCACTTGGAAAGGAACGCTTAAAAAACTTCCTTTAGTGTTAACATGAAATAGTAATTTCATCAAATATTGATATAGTATTATTTTTTATTTTCTTAATCTTTTTCCCCGTCCAGAGGGTTCCTTTATTAAATTATATCATTCACATTATGTATACAATAATATATATATATATATATATATATATATATATATATATGCATAATTTCAAAACAATAATCTTGGTCATTCAAAATATGATAAGAACATACATTTATAGATATCAGTTACAAATTGCAGTAATTTTTACAATATCACAGATTTACTCGGCAAACTAATTTAGAAGAAACAAACAATCAGTAACACTTTGTAAAAGGTAACCACTTTTTCATAAACTACTCTTTCTTTTAGAATTGTTTTACATATATACTTTTCCATATCAAAATAACACTTCAGAAGCGGATCTAGAGGGGGGGTTGGGGTGGTTGCAACCCCCCCCCAAAAAAAATCCGGGGACCATTTTTTTAAATCTTATCTTTTTTTTTAAACTTGTAATTTTATTTTATTCTATTTCTATGTATTTATTTCATTTATTATTATTATTATTATTATTATTATTATTATTATTATTATTATTATTATTATTATTATTATTATTATTTCTTTTTGGGGGGAGGGGGGGGGGGGGTTGGGCGAACAAATGTCACAGAGTCCCTTGCCCCCCCCCCCCATCAGCTTTTTTGAGGACACGGGCCACCGCCGAAGTGAAAAAAAAAGAAAGAAAAAAGAACGCACGCTGGAGAGAAACCCTTTCAAGTGCAAATATTGTGAGAAGATTTTCAACTCATCTGGTAACTTAACCAAACACATGATAACTCTGGATATAACTGTGTATTTAACTGTTACTTGATTTAAAAAGACGTTATCATGCACTGCTTTTTATGGTCTCCATTGTGTTAATAGATGCCAGGAAAACATCACTTACGGGGTTCAAATAAACACCCCAAAAAAAATCGGCTCGCCGCTTCGCGGCTCGTAGACGATGCTCCGCATCGTCATTATTTTGGTCAACCCCCCCTTAGCAAAAAGCTAGATCCGCCCCTGCACTTTGTCGTTGATATTATGTGTTCAAAAGCTGGCAAACACTGTAAAATGCATTTGGCTGCACAAATTTCTTTCCATACTACAATCATAGTCCGTTTCACGGGATCACTCTTTGAATCAGACTTAAGCTATACTCACATGATCAGCTGCTTCTTTGCTAAGTGTATTTACACCAAAGTCAAACTGAATACATCGTTGCGAAAAATCAGTACCGCTCCGGAGAGATATAGAAATGGTTTCTAAATCCTCAGAACCTATATTGATCAGAGAAAAAACAATTTCTAAGTGTTATAGAACAGATCTTCTTGAAAGGAAAGGCGGCACGTTACGTTGGAGCTACATTATAACATGTGTGTTTTGTTGTGTCTTTCGGTTATTATTAAATGACATGTCTTATTTTGGACACTGTTTCGAACTTGAAAGGTCAGTATCCCGGGTCGGTATAAATGTATTATATAGGAGCAAAAAAAGAAAAGAAAATCCCCAACTTTTTTCCCTTCATGTTTCTTTATGGGAGGGCGGCCGTTCTGCCATAAGGTATATAGTCAAGGCCCCATCGATGGCAAATTTTTATATTCAATTGACAACTCCAAGATGCGGACTTTTAGAGATTAAAAAACATTACAAATTAACTTCTCAAATTTCGTCAGACTATACTCACTCCACTCCTCTACTTGAAAGGTGATATTAAGTCCCAAATAAACCGTCGCGCTGTCATCGTTACATCGGGTATGGCATGACGATGCAGCCAGAGGTTCAGCATAATGAATGGTTGGTGAGCAGGTTGTGTAGTACCAATCAGATCTCAGGTTTGTCACTGTCCCAGGTATATCCGTAACGTTTTTGATGTTCCCATTGGGACACGTATCTACGGATATATACAATAATTTGATTGAACTTCGGTTTCAAATACAGTCAAACCTGCTTTAATAGGACATTTTCGCAATGTAACCAAATTTAATGCATAAGTCTTTGTGAAGTGCCTCAATACAAGTTATTTCGTTCACCTGATAAGAATAATAGTATTTCAATAGTCAGAATGCAAACTGCATATATTAAGTGTTGCTAGGTAGGTCAAGCCATAATATTTGTCCAACCTGGCAACAACTAATGTATGCAGTTCGGATTCTGTCTATTGAAATACTATTATTATTTTCAGGTGAATGAAATAATATGTATTAAGGCACTTCACAAAGACTTATGCATTAAATTTGGTTACACTACGAAAATGGCCTATTAGTGACCACCTGTCTATAAAGACTACATTCCCCCTTGAATATGGTTTCTCATTGAAATATGTACTAAAGGAACCTGTACATAAAGACCACCTTTCTATAAAGACCAAATTTCAAGTCTCCCCTGGACGGTCTTTATATACAGGTTTCACTGTATATGATTCTAAGTGGCGAGAGTTTTCAAGTTTCAAATCGCAAGTTTCTTTGATTCCACATCACCGAGAACAGGAAACACCAAGAGAATCAAAATGCAATATATTCATCCAATTTAACATCTGTATCAGTTTCCCCCCAAATGACCAAAGAACTTATCTAAGATCCTATGTTTAGTGATATAAGTTCTGTTGTCATAATTTACTTTATTAGACACGAAATTTGTCCTCTTAAACGTGCCTTTTTCGTCATCTAATCGTATAAACCAGTTTCCGAGAAATCAATAATTTCTCCTTCCTTACATCATCCTTCCTCTATGACAGATTTTGTTTGTTTATTTCCGAAAATCATCATAAAAAACAATAACACGGTATATAACAAAATCAAAAACTTATATAACAGTAATAGAATGATAAAACGGTTGGATAGTTAATGGCGCTGTTCTTCCATGGAGTCCAATGTTCTTCCATGAAGATAAGAAGTCAGTGGTTTGCCCAGTAATAATTGATGACGGCACCAAAACCATTATAATGAATTTATATAGCGCATTTTTCATATACAAAGATATGTTCAAATGCGCTATTATTTTCACATTATAGGCGGTGTCAGACAGAGCCCAATTATCTAGATAATTCGTAACCTGTCTGTCACTTGTCTGTTACCTACGTAAGTGAATTGTCTAGATTACTATTATCTAGATAATTCGGGAAATTGAATCGGTAAATTGTGTCTGACACCGCCTATTATGGGTTAGTATAAATTCATGTGTGCATTTTTAACAAACTCTTCTTTTGTAATAAAACAATTCTTTCTATCGCGGATCATGAGGCGAGCAGCAATCTATTTGAAAGCAACATGCAAAACTTGACTATAGTGAAGGCATAGACGATTAAAATAATACTCTTTTGTCAAGTGAAATGTTTTGATAACAATATTTTGTGTGCTTATAAACAAACAAAAACACTTGAAGTTTGAAGTTAGAAAATCATTTGTTCCACATTTACATAAAAAAAATAAAATAAAAAAATACAAGCGTATAAGCGTAAATTACACCAATTTCTTTTTAAAGATTTCAAATCATTAATTATAATATACGGAAAATAGGTACGAAGTTTCGAAATATATAGATTTATTTATTTATTCAGTTTTATTTAAAAACAGGGTAGTCTTTTCAGTGCCAGAGGCCTGCTTTACAAAAGAGCCCTGTACATACAAAGATTTACAAAAAAATATAATACATTGTAAAAAACAAAGTCATTATATAAACAAGATACCATAAGAGAGCTAAAACAACTTAAAAACTAGATCAAAATTAACATAAGGCCTGAACTATTAAACATTAAGATATTATTGATACAATACAAAATACAAATACAAATAAAAACCTACACATGCCATAAATAAATAACAGACATAAAATCAAAAGGGTAAAAGGTAAGAAATAAAACTACTACAGACTACACAACTACAAACAAAAAAAACAAACAAAACTAACTGTAATAATATAAAGATATGACAGGCAAGGTAAAACAATGTAAAATATGGGGAGCCTAAATAAAAAGCACAGCTTGTATGTGAATAGGCTCCCGTATTGAGTAACACAATATAGTAGGTCTGATTTTAAAAGGTATCATAGGAGGCGAAAACGGAGTAGTATATTATGAGATTCTAGAGACGTACAAGGAGAGTGAATTTGAGAACAAAAGAAAAATAGAATAAAGAGTAAAGACAAGAATATAATAATGAAAAGTAGGAGAAGGTGAAGAAGGGAAGGAGAAGAGAAGATTCTTACCCATTAAAAGAACCTCGGGAGACCCACGTATTTCACACGTCACCTGAAAAAATGAATAGAGCGAAAGGACATATTTTCATAGGTCCATATTCAAACTTCATTATTAGACTGGAAATATTAGTCACTAATGATGCTGCGATGAAAAGCCGACAGATGTTACATAATATGACGTTAGCAATTGATCAATTAAAATGTAAAAAACATCAAACAATTTATGTCCATTTTTTGATGAACAAAATGAAAAGCATAACAATCAAGGGTGGGGGAGGATAAAGGGGCAAAAAGTGAGATGGCGAATTTGTGCACAAATGATACAACACAATCATAAAACAAAAAGAATATCTGAGTACATAGATAGTTACATGAAATTAATTATTCCAATAACTTTGATGAAAGGCTGAATGTGAAAATGAAGTATGTTTATCACAGCAAACGCATTAACATTTTTATGTGGATAAATACAGTTTATAGCGTGTGCTAAAATAGTCACATATTCGAATATTTTGAATATTTCAAAAACTTTGTATGAAAATCATAAATTCATTTAAATTAGGACCATATTGATTAAATGAATTGAGATTGGCCCAGTTTTGTTTGCAATCCAAAAAAGTCTCCTCATTTTGACTTTACATAATATATTTATTTACCATACTCAGTGGCGTAAGCAGAATATTTTCAAGGAAGGTGTATGAAAATATGGAAATCGCGATTTCGCTCATTAGGGGGGGGGGGGGGGGGGACCCCAAAACACCCCCCCCCCCCCCCCTGCGTACGCACCTGACCATACTAACTAACTTCACACTATTTCATACGTCATGATTATTATATTATCAGCATGAAATCTTTTCATGAACTCCTTTTAAACAAACAAATATGAATGATAAAATTCTGCTGGGTAAAAGTCCAACTATCCAACAAAAGATGTTAGCGTTCAACACATTCGGTGTGTTTTATAACTGTATCGTGTGTCTTCAAGCATGCGCACGCATTGTGATGGCTTGTTCCCAGTCGACACAGGGTAAATAAATGGGGATTCCCCTAAATCCTGTATAGTCTCGCCATACAGACTTAATTTAATTATCCCGAGACAGTGGAAACTTTCAATTCATTACTAGGTAAAAAGCAAAAGCTGGTCCCAATAAGCATTCTGAAAAAAAAAAAATCTAAATATTACCTAGTTACGGTATCAATGCATTCATCATTCATCACCCTCTTGAAATGAAAAACGCCTGATTCTTGAGACTAACCATGTTGACGTAAAAGGTTGCATGTAATGTATTCTTTGATCAGTTCCTCAAATATACTCCCAATGATGACGATACTCTACCCCCGTCTAACCCATTCATAGTAACAATAGGGAGCTGCACAGTTCTACCCGGCTGTCATTATAACGTAATCTGAAGTTAAAGCTAGTTAACACGTATTTAAGGAATCCATGTAACATATTATGCTCATTTCCTTCAAATGCATGCCATTTAATATTCATGTTTACAATACACACTTCTGTTGGAATTTGATTTATATAGCAACCAATGTTGCATGATAGCGGCACAATGCAAACGTTAGTGTACCATTTTTGTGCTTGTGTTGTTTTGCTTGTCTTGTCATGTATTGTCTTGTTTTGTATCGTCTCCATCCTTTCTTTTTCCTTGCATTTTCTAATTTATGATCATGATATTTTATGATAAGAACCTAAATCATAAGCTATGCTTTCTTAGGTTTCCTCCGCAAAACAGCAAGCAATTATCTCCTTAGTCTCAATTGTGTACCTTTACTGCATGACACGTACAGTTGTTCCATATTATGTATATTTCTCGGTTGTTAATATTTTAATTGGAATTACTTTGTAGTACGAAATGCTTTCTAAATTTTGTTTGGTGTTACTGTGGAAATGAAATAGTTGCAAAATTAATCCGAGTTAAAGAAAGGGATTTAAAAGAGAGTTGCGTTAACCAGTGAAAATAAACATAGGCAAATTATTATTAAATGGTTTCTTCATCAAACATGATTCTGAGGTAAAATAAGTTTGTGTACATTGTTTCGAAGACTAAAGTTAAACCAATTCAAATAATTTCATACCCTTAACTCAATCAAAACATGATCAAGATGCTTACATACAATTGATATCAATTCACTTCAATTCAATTAAAGACCTTATTCCAGACTCAGCTGCAAGAGTAGAGGTCCATATAACACATTTGTTACCCTGTGCATAAATTTCACGACACTGTCTATAAATATCTCTCTCATCACACACGTCCTCAGTAATTTAGCCTCTTTAAAAGTTTAGCACCACAGAAATACAAATCTGGAAATACCAACTTACAATGTTCTTTACAACTCATAATCATCATAACGTGACTCTTTTTCGCATTATATTTAACATCATTGTATATACCAAACTGAGAACAAACATGTAGCAAGCTCTGTGAACCTGCAGTTAAAAATAACAAGATTATCAGCATTACCAACTAAACAGCCAGTACCACAGGCTAAATATCAAATGACACTTACTATATAATATAGAAAATGAAACTTATTTGTAATTAAACAATATCAAATGTTGATAAGCGATCAAAGCATTTTAGGATACAAAAATACAAGCATAATATTATCATAAACTAGGTCGAATTTTAAAGGAATACAGAAATCCACTGAAAAGCAGAGATTGTATTTGTGTGGATTACTATAAATTAAAAAAAAGAAGAAGGAAAGAAATGACTTTTGTGTGGCATGATGGTATCGAGATTGGTGTTCAACCTTTAAAAAAATCAATCTAGTGTATACAGGCTAAGCTTGTTAATCTTTTGTATATAAGTTTATTGCTCCTTAGCACCTGCTTAGACTTGACAGATTTTCAAATGAATGATTAATATTCATGTAATCAACTACTGGTCATAGGTCCTGACAGCTTTTTGGGGAACAAAGGTTGAACAAAAATGAAAATGTAACGAATCATTTAATGCAAATAGATAAACAATACCTGGTTGTCATTGTAGGAAAACGAACAGTCTGATATAGGTGCTTGATCAAGGCAGCATGAAGATGCTAGACCGGGTCCAGAGATCAACATCAAGCACATGAAGGCGGAAATCGTTAAACTCCCCGCCAGTAGTTCTGCCGTAATCACACTGTACATCTTCGTTAATTAAGCGTTTTAATCCAAATGGTTTGTATGGTCGAATATGAGAGCGAGTGATCTTTAGATAGCTTGCAAACCTATGGATCTCATGGTAAATTCATAAAGAAATGACACACAACATCAGGTGCAGTCAACCCAATCGCCCAAACTATCATAGCGCTAATTTTGGGTTTCACCGGCATGACAATTTTCAACGTTCACTATTGTGGCGTGGCGTCTGGGTTCATGGTGTTCGAGGTGGTGGAAGTGGGGGGGGGGGGGGGGGGGGGGGGGGTGGCGAACTTATGTCAATCACTGTCTCATGCAGCAAGACCCAGTATTTGATGAGAGGAGGGGAAGGGGCGACGCAAGGAGGGGTTGGGCGTATTTGAAGCTTTGACATTTCATTAAATTATTAGAGAAAGGAGACGATTCGTTGTACCGTTCACGACTCTTAATCCTTGTCTAAATTCGGTTTCTTTTGACATTTCATTTAATTATTAGAGAAAGAAAACGATTTGTTGTACCGTTTTCGACTCTTAATCCTTGTCTAAATTAAGTTTCTTTTGACGTTTCATTAAATTATTAGAGAAAGAAGACGATTCGTTGTACCGTTCTCGACTCTTAATCCTTGTTTGAATCAAGTTCTCCTTCCTCCACGCCTAGCGCGGAAGCTCTCACGTTTCATTAAATTATTAAAGAAAGAAGACGACTCGTTGTACCATTCTCGACTCTAAATCCTTGTCTGAATTCAGTTCCCCCCCCCCCCTCCCGCGCGAAGCTTTGACGTTTCATAAATGATTAGAGAAAGAAGACAATTCGTTGTACCGTTCTCGACTCTTAATCCTTTTTCTTCCTACGTTCTCATCCTCTCTTCTTTTTTTTTTTTTTGGCCGGCGTTTTTTTTTTTCTTGGGGGGGGGGGGGGGGGCAACCGCCCCCACCGCCCCCTGGCTACGAAACTTATACAGTATACTTCAATTTTGAACACATCAATCCCTAGCCCATGCTCTCTCGTCATTTCTTATCATTCTGCAAGAACCGGGAGTGTTTCACAAAAGATCGACTTAAAGGAAACCACACCCCAAGAAATAACTTAACATATTCTAAGAGACTTATTATATTCTTGCCCATTAATCTACAAGATTCCCCACCAAAGTGTATGAGAGAGGCATAGAGCAAGAATGATGTACAATTTCTCAAAACTACATGGGTATCGCCATTTTCCTGATAACGTGACGTACTATTGTGAAGTCGTTTATCAAGTAAAAGTATTGAAATTATGGATGCTTCCTTCCCACGTGTGTGTTGAAAAAGCATTTCATACATCTGCTATTATCCGTTGTACATACTACAATTGCCAGATCCGAGTAAATAAGTTAGCGCTCTTCTGGGGTGGAGTTTTCTCATAAATGAAATGGATTCCCCTGTTATATGTTTTTTCAACAAATGTAATCTTCTTAGCTTTAATTTTTCCTCAGTGAAAAGCAAAGGTTTTGTTATTGATTTCAAAAGTCTTTTCAACTGAAGATTGATGCATGATACATGTACAACTTCAACTGCTACATCACATTTTCGAGAAAATGGCTGCGCACATGTCATGCGAAAAGGCATCACAAAATTCAAAACATGCCAAGAATATCTTCATTTATATATCTCTTGTACGTTATAAGGAATATGGTACATCAAAAGGCAGGAATACATCTCATTCTTTTGTCAGAATACCTACACTTGCTCTTTGGATGATGTTTCCTTTAAGATTAACTTGAACTTTGGCACACCGTTCATGCCACTAGTTGCTCTCACCGTTCCTGGCAATGGTCTCTCAATGGACATACAAATCGTGATCACAATTCTACAGAATTGATATTTTTTTATTAGTTCTTGAAGGAAAAAATCTAAATATCATAATTTTTAAGGTTTTTCCTCTAATTTTAGATCTTTTTTTCAGAATTTTTAAGGGCATAAATCGCCTAACATAGTTTAAGTCCAAGTCTTGAATATGTAAGTACCTTTTTTTTCTTTAACAATAAATTATACAAAATGTAAATTCTGTAGATATGTGACGTCCCTTGAGAGACCAAGTGGTGAGAGCAACCAGTGACATGAATGGCCTGCCATTGTTCAAGCCAAACTTAAGTCGATCTTGGTCTTTGTGATACACCCCCTCCCCGGTCTTCGTTCAAATTCAGATTGCACCATAGATGCATAAATCATGTGCCCAGAACAAACAGTAAAGCTGGTGATAATGCTTTCCAGCCACGACTGTGGAATGATCTGCCACGATCTGTCCGGCCTGTCTCCTTCATTCGATTTTTTTTAAAGCTCTCAAAACTTTCCTATTCAATGATTATTCACTAAAGAGGTCAGACAGTCTTTTCTCCTCCTCGTTCCCATATCCAGTGTATCTAACTATGCAGGATGTCTCACCTTTTGCTTTTAGTGTGTAATTTTAGGGTGTAAGTTGCTTTTAATACATGTTAAGGGAGTACTAAGGGTCTTACTTTGTGTACTTTAGATTGAATATTGTAATACATGTCTCTTTGTTTTATTATTCAGTTGTGTATAGTGACTTTCGATATATTTGTTTCAACTTCTGGATCCCTCGGTGGAACAACGCCACCTTATTGGTGGATGCTCAGTAGGGCCATGCATCTAGCTGTATATCCCTTATATTATAAAATTATGTGTACATATTGTGTAATGTTTCGATTATTGTACTTCTTTTTATACGGAAATAAATTCAAATCAAATAATTGTTGACTTTTGCTACTATATATCGTGTATGTTAATGTGTGCGAACCTCTGTGAAACGGCGTTTTATGTGTAAGAACGCTGTATAAAACGACTTTGTTATAACTCATTAGGGCCCGCCGGATTAGGGGTAATAATCCCATTATGACATGGAAAACCACTTATCTGAACAAGTCTTGGTTACTTGGGAGGACGACACATACAACAATAACAACGACAGCAACAAGACGACGGTAAATAACACGAAGACAGAATAGACATATTCCTGCTTGTGGGTCCACGTTAAAACAGATCACCGGACTTGTTTCACTGCATCACTGCATGACGTTATTTCAGAACCTGTTCCAGAAATCGTTTCGGAACTAGTTCAAGATCTTTGTTCTTTGAACTTGTTCCTGAACTCGTTTCAAAACTCGTTAAAAAATGGGTGCTACAGGGAGCAAGAAAATTAAACCAAATCTGGTCGCCATAAAGCAACGGAATCAGCATTTCTGTTACGTAGACCCCGTATTTCAAAACGACAGGTTACGTTCTTTAAACTTCCACCCAGATGATGTCGATGAAGTTTTAACCACACAACCTAAGGCAGCGTTGTCTCCTCTTGAGGTGCAAGAATTAGATGATTTGGATGATGTTGAATTCCCGTATGAAAACATCGTGTTTGAAGGTGGAGGGAGTCAAGGCATGGCTTACATGGGAGCAGTGACGGTAAGATCAGCTTTATTCACATCATCATCATGCAATATGACGCACTGGCGTACTGATGGGGGGGGGGGGGGGAGGCTTGAGGGCAGTTGCCCATAATACAAATAAATAGTCTATTTCTAATTCGATACCAGTGATTTACAAACGTTCCCGAAATTACATTATTTTCCGGGATTTTTCCTAACTTTTGTTGGAAAATGACAAATTCCCAAATGTACAGTCAGGCAAAACAAAATAAAAGCTTATTTAGAAGCCTATGTGTCAGGGCCCGCAAAACGGCGGGGCTAGGGGGCTCGAGCTCCCCGACTTTTTATTTAACTTTAATTTTTGTGTGTTTGAGGATAGAGTTAGTTTAAAGGAAATGTGAAAAATACCTTCTTACCTGAACTTTTGAATATATTTACAGAATCACTTTGATTTAGTCTCTAAATCTTTTATTCTATTGAAGTAATTCATAATGCCCTTTATTTCACTATTTTTAAAGTTCTTAAACATCATATTTCTAACTCAGTTGAACATTTTACGATTTTGAATGTATTCTATTGGTGTACATTATCTAGCTAGTGGTCCACTCCACATACATATTGTAGCTTTTTATTTCTTACTTCTTGGTATGTTACTACCAACCTATATTTCCATCAGTCTTAAAACTAAATTCAACTAATATTCCATGCTCGGACTACCTACTTTGACAGTGACGTAATACATTTGTATATTGTTAACATAGCGTTATCTTAGATTAAATCTTAGATATCACATATCCTCTTTTTAAGCAAATATTAGTTTCTTTAGCAACTTCTTAACTCATTTATTTATTAATGTTACTCACCTTTCTCAACAATGTAGAAAAAAGTCCTGTCAATAATTTCAATTAATTTAAGCAAACGTGGGACATTTTTCAAAACACTTCTCAATGCCTCGATATTGTTATACCCACCGGATTTTTCCTTTTTTCACCGCAACTTGTTTTTTTTTTTTTTTGCGTTCGGTATTGACTATTCACGACAGAAAGTACCACAATGCAGATTGTTTAGTGTCCTTGTAAATGACAATGTTAATCCGCTGTCTGAGGTTCTGGGCAGAAGTGAAGGTTATCGATTGGGTTGAATAATCTTATTGTGTTATGATCATAAATCTCAAGCGACTCAATCATGAGCCATTGTATATACATGGTATTAAGAGCTAAGGATATAGAGCAAGGATGGCGAACTCGACTTGGAGACGCTGTGAACCATTTCACTGGCAATCCTTTGTGAACATTTTACAAAACCCTCGTCCTAAGCTTCACTTGTATTAAAAGTATGCCCTACTTTGGGGGAAAACACAGTGGTCGAATGATAGCTCATGATTCAAAGTTACATGCTAGGATTCATACTAAATAATAATTGTATTTTGTGTTCCACACTTCCACTATATTTTCAGTGAATCCTCTACTCTTGACACCTTTTCCAGAAAGTATCTATACATAAGAAGTCGGAAGAAAGAAAAAAAGAAAAAAAGGAAATTACATGGGTGTGCATGTGGATGTGTGCAGATGAAGTAAGTTTTCTATTCGTTTTGTTCCTTGTATCCTTGGCCAAAAGCACATACTATTGATGCAATGCATGGATCCATTCAATGTCATTTAATGTTTTTTTCCCCATTAGTTTATCATTTTGAAATCAAATTTCGTTTTACAGGAACTAGATCGGTTGGGCCACTTGAAGAAGTTACGTCGTTACGCAGGGGCTAGCATCGGAGCAGTGACAGCTTCTTTACTGGCATTGGGACATAGTGCCGAGAGTCTTCACGAAGAACTCAAAACTGCTCCCACGATGGAAGCGTTTTTAGGTACAAACACAAGTCTTAAAGCCCCACTGTCCTGCTTGTAGCTTTTTGCTTCCTCTATATAGAAAACTTCCTCAATCGGTGCCTGTTGGTCCCCCATGATCCTCGCTTTCTTATATTAGTTGAGAGCTGAGTTAATACGATAGCCACCTGTCAGTGACCTCGCTGTGTGGTCTAATCCCCTCTGGCCCAGTAGTATTGACGGTCTTTAAAGTAATTGTAATCGTTGTCATTCGAAAAGAGAATATCTATCACATAATTTAAATGTGGAATATATAACGCTAAGCTGTAAAGCTTGGGAGGCAGAAGTCCATGTCTTACTGCTCCTTGCCTCCTGCTACATAATACCTGCATGGCTGCTCTTCTGTAAGTCTTGTAAAGGAAATGACACCAGGGGGTGTTTCACAAAGACTAATATCGACTTTAACTGTTCTTGCCACTGTTTACTCTCACCATTTACTGGCATTGGTCTCTATCAAGAGACGTACAAATCATGGCCACAAATCTACAACATTTGCATTTTTTGATAATTCATTATTGAAGGAAAAAAATGTCATCTAAAGATAATAATGGTGAGAGCAAACAGTGGCATGAATGGCCTGACGTAGTCAAGTCCAACTTAAAGTCGATCTTAGTCCTTGTGAAACACACCCCAGATGTCCCATTACCAGTTTTTGTTTAAATTGTTTTTAATAATGTTTCGTTCCCATGTAGATGCTGGGTGCGGAGTTTGTAGTCTGATTCCAAACGTGATAAGCTCCCTTGGGTGGCATCCAGGTAAAACTGCATTCGATTGGTATGGAAGTATAATACAGACCAAGTTGGACAACCCTGATGCTACATTCAAAGATCTTTATGACAAGACCGGTAAAGAACTGTGTATCGTGGTAACCAACTTGAGTCTGAAGATGGAAGAGTACTGCCATGTCAAGACTACTCCCAATCTACCGATCAGGATAGCGATTAGGATGTCCACGTCACTTCCAGGTAAAACCTTGGTAAAACTTCGGTAAAACCTTGGTAAAAATCACCACTTTTTTCAGCTGATTGTCATTTGTTTGATCAAACTAAGACGACGATAAAATGAATAGAAATCATTAGAAAAAAGAGGTTTTTGAACACACATCTGGATGAATGAAAGTGAACGGAAAGATACAGTATATCCACAACAAATAGTTTGAATGGAGAAAAAACACAGTATTCGAGTCAGTAACGAAGTACTATTTGATTTCAATGTGTTCTATAAATTTGCTTTGCTACCACTGTGAACATGACGGACAAAGAAAGCGGAACAAAATATACAGTTCCTCATTCTACCCTCAACAACTGCTGTGGTAGACAAAGGAACATCCCTTCACTGCTATGATGTAAAAATGTGTAGAACAGGTGAATATGCATGTGACACCTGTTCTACACATTTTTAAATAATAGCAGTGAAGGGATTTTCCTTTGTCTACCACAGCAATTGTTGAGGGTAGAATGAGGAACTGTATATTTTGTCCTCTTTCTTTGTCCGTCATGTTCATATATACCCTCGACTTGGTGGAGATTGAAGCTGATTTTGACCTTGATAGATTTTAAAAAAAAATAACATCGATTCCTTTTCCCCAAGGTGTGTATTACCCATTCCAGAAAGTGACCGGTGAACGCAAAGATCTTTATGTAGACGGAGGATTAATCTGTAACTACCCAGTACATTGCTTCGATGGTATGTATTGATCTTCTTGAAGAGTTCTATCAGAGTATATGAATTACGACTGGAGTATTTAGTAGGGTAACGTTTACTGAACAATGACAGTTGATGTGTTTCAGTGCCTCCTACCCCCCCCCCCCCACTCACTTACTTAACATGATATGCCTGACAATAATTCATACATTGATTCACAGTAAACATAATTTTTAAAGATGATATTTTAAAGATGGTATTTTCCCCTATGTTTTAATTGTTATTGTCTATCTTTGTCTCTCGATCACTCTCTCCCCCCTCTCTCTCTCTCACTATCTCCTCATATCTCCCTCTTTCTCTCTCTCCCTGGCTCTCTCACTTTTTCACCCAATCTACCTCTGAGCTTGTGATATGACTAAATAGTATTTTTATCCCCCTCATAATTTATGATGTTTAAAATGCTCAATGTGATTGTTTATCACGAATTATTTACACATTTGTATTCTTGTTATTTTAATTTGTGTTATGAATTGTTTTTGTTTGTTTATGTATATATATTGTGTGAATGTGTTTAACGGACTTATGGCTGATAGCAGGTGTTTTAACCGTGTTTAAATTTATTTTTATCTATTTCTAATATGTATACATGGTGGCACAGGGTCTTCCACGAGGCCCTGTTTGGTAATAATAAAACAAATAACAGCATCAAAAACAAAATATATAAATACACAAACATATAAAAAGGTAAAATATAAATTAATTGGTATCCCCATGAAATAACTGATCATTCAAGAATCATCCTTGATCATTTACAAGATATAGGTGAATGGAATTTTCAATTTATTTATTATTTTTTTAACGTTCATTTAATAATCTTAACGCACGGGATACCAAAATTGTTATACAAATTTACATTCAATTGCTCTTTAACTAATACACTTACCCATACGTTTACAAGATAGCTGAAAATGAATACATTACATGTATGAATTCATGATAACGATAACCATGTCAACTAAATTTCAAAATTTTGCAAATAGGAAAAAATGGTTAGCTCCGCACGAAACCCCCAAAGTTCACTTACACGTCATCTACAGATAACAGGGCTTTTAGATCGTTTTTAAAACTGTTCAAAGTAGGTGACGTTTTGACAGGACTTTTAAGTTGGTTCCATACTCTGATTCCAGAAATTAGAGGACTATTTTTATGGTGTCCGTCCTAAATTGGGTACACACAATGCATCCCTTACAGCATGTCTTGTGTTTCGATCATCTTGTTGGTGCCATGTCATGCATTGATTTATACATCATCATCACTGCACGTCCAAACTGGAAACGTGTCTGAATAGGCATCAATATAAACGACTAAACATATCATTTGAAGATACTTCAAATCCTTCTCCCATCACTACACGTGCAGCTCATTTTTGAACCTTTTGCAATTTAATCGTTTGTCTTTGAAATCGCTCAGACCACACCGAGGAACAATAATCAAAATGAGGAAGTACGATGGCATTATACAGAAGTTTTAGAGATCTTGTTGGAACATAACTTTTGGCTCGCTTAATTACACTTATATTTCTTTATATTTATACTTATAAATAAAACAAACAAACAAACAAAGATAGAACACTGAATATTTCAGCTTTTCTTCATTATTTTTTTTGGTTTAACAAAAAACACGAGTTAAAATTGGAGAGTATAGATCAGGGGAGAATATACCTATGTTCCCGATCCATCTTCTCATCTGCCTAACTATTCCAATGTTTTTGAATGAACCCTCAGGATGGTGGTTGTCTATGAAACCAGAAGACTCCTTTCTGAAGAGGATGCAACCTCTTACAGATGTCGGCAGACTGATGATGAAGAAGGAGAGATTTGGAACGTTCAACGAGAAGACATTCGGACTCATCATTGTAAGTCAGATTTTACAACATAAAAAAGGGGATTAATTAGTTTTAACTAACAATAACAATTAAAAAGCGAGGGGGCAAATAACGCAGGTAAGATAAATACATTATTTTAGAAACATTATCCACAAACTTATGGTAATATTTAAATGAAGTTGTTCTTTTCGAATCTATTTACACAGTAAAACAAATCTATAAACACATAGAGATATTAAATCATTATTGTACCCCATAAATGACACAATGCTGCATGCAATTTGCGCAAATTCGTGCCACAAAAGTATCTTGTCCCGAAATTTCCAATTAAGATTTAATTTGCATTAATTTTATATCGTTGTAGTTCAGTGACCATGATCACCACGTGTTATACGCGAACCCAGACTTGATCGCTCGTCCGACAGTTATACCGGATACAGTATTAGGGAGGTGAGTGTTTGAGATAGATCGATGCATGTATCCCCTTCTTCCGGTGATCTGTATACGGGTTATAGTACTCCCCTTCTATTTCTTTCTCTCTTCTAGCTCCTTTCTTCACTTTATCTACCCAAGTCTCTTCTCTCTTCTAATAAATTGATCTCAATGTTGAAGAGATAAGTGTATAAGATAAGATGCATTAATTTATTGATATTTTGCAAACATAAAAGAAATTGTACTATAGTCAATTGGTTGTATATACACTGTTGGTCATAATGGTGGAATAATTATTTTTACCCCAATTTATTGAATGATTTTGACAATGATTTATTCCTAATAGATCTAGATAATTCTCAGATTTTATTGAATGACAATTGGGGAGTGTTTGTTTTGCGTGACTGCTAAAGCATGTGTGTGCTCGATGCTAATCAACTAGGGGACCTACGGCCTTAAGTCATAACTGACAATAATGGGGACTAATACCTCATAAAATGGAACTAATAAAGCACATCGACACGGTTTTGATCATGGGGGCTCGCAGTAACGAGGCCATTGCTTAGCCAATGAATCATGACTGTACGCAGCGGGCGCTAGGGTACGTCGACGCCCCCCACAAAAAAAAAGAAAAAAAGAAAATGCAATAAATTTTCAATAATTCATTGCATTTTGCCCCGACCCCCAACATAAAAAAAAATCTTCTATGTGGGCATGTCTTGAACCATGATGCATGGCACTACAGAGGAATTTTTTCCTGTTGGGGACTGGGGGAAATGCAATGCATTATTGAACATTATTGCATTTTTTTTAGTTTTTTAGTTTCTGTGGGGGCGTTGACGTACCCTAGCGCCCGCTGCGTACAGTCATGATTCATTGGCTAAGCAATGGCCTTGTTACTGTGAGCCCCCAGGATCAAAACCATGTCAATGTGCTATATTAGTGCCCTTTTATGAGGCATTAATCCCCATTACTGTCAGTTATGACTTAAGGACGTAGGTCCCCTAGTTGATTAGCATAGTAGCACACACATGCTTTAGCAGTCACGCAAAACAAACACTCCCCAATTGTCATTCAATAAAATATGAGAATTATCTAGATTTATTAGGAATAAATCATTGTCAAAATCATTCAATAAATTGGGGTAAAAATAATTATTCCACCATTAATATGACCAACAGTGCAGTTAAAAATCATAGGCTATAAAATGCGTAACATAATTTCATTACTTTGAGAGCAATATTACATGAAGCAATGTCATTATACAAAGAGGGATATAGGCGAGGGTTGGTTTTATTTCTTATTGTAGCAATTTGGTGGTATTTTCTGATGATGGTTAAGGTATTTTCCAAACGTTAAAACTAGAAAGTTTATTGAGATATTTGATTCCATGTTTCTTGAAACCTCGCGGGTCCTGTCCAACAAAGAGTTGCGATTGATCCGCATCAATCGAAAGTTTTCAGTCCCCTATCTCTCATGTACATAGTTGAGTATGATATCAACTGCAAAATAAGTTGCGATTAATAACTCTCTATATAAGTCGGATCCAAGGTCTCATTAATCAAAGTATCGGGTCTGTGCCTAAAGGATTGTGCCAAAGGTTTGTGCGTAAGAATGTTAAGATTCGAGGATATTCATTCTTTCAGATGCCTTTCACTGCGAGTGAATATGCAATGATTAAAAATGACTTTCAAATATAATGAATATCATTACATGTTTAGTGAAGAATGAGCATGTAAAAAACAAATCGTAAAACAATGAATAATCATGATTATTGCAACTATATTTTATGAAGGTCGTACAAGAAAGTGATGAAGGAGCGGGAAGATAATATTAGACGACATACGGTGGTGACAGAGGCTATGTCCCAGTTTCTTAAAGTTATCAATGATCATAACCTCGACGGTAATGCTACGATCAACATGAGCGAATTTGAGCAAGCAATTACGAAAGTGAGTTTTGTATTATGATAACATAGAGAAAATCGGTGTAAATGTAGAATAATGCACCGTGTTATTAGCATTCACATTTACCATGTTAATATATGAGGATTGGAAATTCAATATTCTAGGACTCATAACGGGGGTCAGTTTTTTTGTTATCTGGAGTGCTAACGCTTCTGAAAATTTTAAAAACTTTTGTTGTACTTGTTTGTCCTTTTTGAGACACAAGGCCCCCCGATACAGGAGTCCAAGGATGTCTAATACACATGTAAACAATGCTTTTATTAGGTTTGAATGTTGCGTTGGGTTAAAAATTCAAATTGATTTTTACAAGGAAGACTCTATCAAAGAAGGAATTCGTATTTTGAGCGATTACACACAAGGTCCATTTATAGTTTATCTTCTTATATAATTATTTAGATAACAAAAAATGATGACAATCAGCATAACACTGTCAGACTGTAGATATCTGATCTAATTTGATAATTAAAAACTAAAAAGTTTTCTTCTTGTAATTTCAAAAAGAAATCAGTTGCACCAAGGCGATTGAACATACACTAATTGGAAATATTGTCTGCCAATAATATAAATTATATTATTATCACCCTTAATTTGAGTGTATTTGTCTCTAATCGAACCCTAATCTGCAAATTGACTGTATTTTCTTGTGTAATTTTTTATTACAGACGGCTGAATTCACCGCTGCACATAGTAAAGCTTTGTTTGGTAGTCATCTATCATCACCCGGCGAAATATTCTCTGCTTTAGATGTCAACGACGATGGAGAGGTACAAAGAACATTTTAGAGGTCATCGTCATCAATCATCATCATCATCATTGCCATCACCATCATCATCAACAATATCGTCATCAATATCATCGTCATCATCATCATTGCCACCACCATCATAATCAACATTATCGTCATCATTACCATCGTCATCATCATCATCATTGCCACCACCATCATCATCATTAACATTATCGTCATCATTACCATCGTCATCATCATCATCATTGCTATCATCATCATCAACATTATCGTCATCAATATCGTCATCATCATCACCATAATGATCATCATCATGATCATCATCATCATCATCATCATCACCATCATCATTATCATCATCATCATCATCAACAACAACACCAATGTTGTCGATATTGCTATGGTATACTAATAGCATTAATAACATTAATTTATATACGCGTTACGCACTTTTGATCAAGGCGCAAAAATACTCAACAGTACAATGAGAAATATTAATCAGTGTCATCGTGACCATCCCCATCCTCCTCATCATCAGTAACAAGAACGCATAATATGTTAACAGAATTGTTGACTGATTAATGTCTTATGAAGTATATTCTCTTTGCTTAAAATTTAGAATCACCTTTCATAAGGATCATATACGTGTGGTGATTACACAATTACACATGTATTGAATTAAATTTCTCTGGTCAATTCGATCCTTATAATTGATAATCACAAACTCGGCCTTGGTTCATAAAACTTGTAATAAATGCGAAGAGTCAATGGCAAATTTGCTGTCAGCCAATCAAATACCACGATTTCAGTAGCTTACAACCAGGGGCGTAAATCCGTACCGAGGAGTGGGGGGGGGGGACGATAGGCGATAGCCATCACATACTAGCAGGAGCATACGCCCACGCTTTTTTCATTAAATTATTAGAGAAAGCAGACGATTCGTTATATCGTTTTCGACTCTTAATAAGCCCTATTTATCTGAATTCAGTTTCCCCTCTCGCGCGAAGCGCGGAAGCCTTGACGTTTCCTTAAATTATTAGAGAAAGCAGACGATTGGGTGTACTGTTCTCGACTCTTAATTCTCGTCTGAATTCAGTTTCCCCTCTCGCACGAAGCGCGAAAAGCTTAGACGTTTGATTTAATTATTATAGAAAGAAGACGATTCGTTGCACCGTTTTCGACTCTTAATAAGCCATATTTTATTGGAATTCAGTTTCCCTCTCTCGCGCGAAGCGCGGAAGCCTTGACGTTTCCTTAAATTATTAGAGAAAGCAGACGATTGGGTGTACTGTTATCGACTCTTAATTCTCGTCTGAATTCAGTTTCCCCTTCCCGCGCGAAGTGCGAAAAGCTTAGACGTTTGATTTAATTATTATAGAAAGAAGATGATTCGTTGCACCGTTTTCGACTCTTAATAAGCCATATTTATCTGAATTCAGTTTCCCCCTCTCGCGCAAAGCGCGAAAGCCTTGACGTTTCCTTAAACTTTTAGAGAAAGCAGACGATTGAGTGTACTGTTTTCGACTCTTAATTCTCGTCTGAATTCAGTTTCCCCTTCCCGCGCAAAGCGCGAAAAGCTTAGACGTTTGATTTAATAGTTATAGAAAGAAGACGATTCGTTGCACCGTTTTCGACTCTTAATAAGCCATATTTTATCTGAATTCAGTTTCCCCCTCTCGCGCGAAGCGCGGAAGCCTTGACGTTTCCTTAAATTATTAGAGAAAGCAGACGATTGAGTGTACTGTTCTCGACCCTTAATTCTCATCTGAATTCAGTTTCCCCTTCCCGCGCGAAGCGCGAAAAGCTTAGACGTTTGATTTAATTATTAGAGAAAGAAGACGATTCGTTGCACCGTTTTCGACTCTTAATAAGCCATATTTTATCTGAATTCAGTTTCCCCCTCTCGCGCGAAGCGCGAAAGCCTTGACGTTTCCTTAAACTATTAGAGAAAGCAGACGATTGAGTGTACTGTTTTCGACTCTTAACTCTCGTCTGAATTCAGTTTCCCCTTCCCGCGCAAAGCGCGAAAAGCTTAGACGTTTGATTTAATAATTATAGAAAGAAGACGATTCGTTGCACCGTTTTCGACTCTTAATAAGCCATATTTTATCTGAATTCAGTTTCCCCCTCTCGCGCGAAGCGCGGAAGCCTTGACGTTTCCTTAAATTATTAGAGAAAGCAGACGATTGAGTGTACTGTTCTCGACTCTTAATTCTCATCTGAATTCAGTTTCCCCTTCCCGCGCGAAGCGCGAAAAGCTTAGACGTTTGATTTAATTATTAGAGAAAGAAGACGATTCGTTGCACCGTTTTCGACTCTTAATAAGCCATATTTTATCTGAATTCAGTTTCCCCCTCTCGCGCGAAGCGCGAAAGCCTTGACGTTTCCTTAAACTATTAGAGAAAGCAGACGATTGAGTGTACTGTTTTCGACTCTTAACTCTCGTCTGAATTCAGTTTCCCCTTCCCGCGCGAAGCGCGAAAAGCTTAGACGTTTGATTTAATAATTATAGAAAGAAGACGATTTGTTGCACCGTTTTCGACTCTTAATAAGCCCTATTTATCTGAATTCAGTTTCCCCTCTCGCGCGAAGCGCGGAAGCCTTGACGTTTCCTTATCGTGACATACTATATGTGTAGGCTATACATAAACAAAATAACTCATTTCTCATGCATTATGCTGCAATTGAAACAATCACATTTTTATCTTCTTCTTTTTCTTCCTTTTTTTTCCTCTCTTTTTTTTGGTTGTAATATCAGGGGGGATGATTGTACAGGCCATCCCCCCTACTTCAAACCAGGGGGGATGCAGCCCCCCCCCATCCCCCCGGGATTTACGCCCCTGCTTACAACAGTTGTTAGAACTTGTTTTTAGCACGTTTTTATGAAACTGGGACCGTCACCTGGTCTTCAGGCTTATGTTAATGTCATAATTTTGAGGTAGATTCATTCGTCCTCTTTTAATAAAACAGTATCCCTGAAAATGGGGAAATGAATGAAAGTAGAGGTTTGCCATGTCAAACAAAATATAACATCATCCTATATAATATGGAGGAGGCGCGATAGCTCAGTCGGTAGAGCAGTGGTCTCGTAATCCGGTGACCCGGGTTCGAAACCAAGGCGATGCGCTCGTGCCCTTTGGTAAGGCATTAATCCTCATTACCAGGTCCCTCGGAGAGGACCCAAAGCCGTCGGCCGTCTGGTTGCTTACTTACAAGCATTTATGCTTTCTTAGCAGTAAGGTAAAACAACCACCACCATTCATATATAATAATGAAATCTGATGTTAAAATAATGGACATGTTTTATCCTTGAAGTTGTTTTTATTCTTCAGATTGACTACCATGAGATGATGGCGATGGCTGAGAGTCGTGGTGCTGGCATAGAGAGTCAAATCATAGGCGCAGGCTGGACTAGCATCAACAAACCACAGAACATCATTGACTGCGTGTTTCGGACGCTTCTTATGAATGTTAAGAGAGCCTTTCTAGAGGTAATATATCAATTAGCAATTAACAGTCATGACGATTTTGTTTGGGGGGGGGGGGGAGGAAATTAATTTAACATTTAGAATGCTCATGATTATCTTCTGCTTCTCTTGTCGTATACGGTATAGTAAGTCTTCTCAGATAGTCATGAACAGATAATTTAGATTACACATTCAGGTGAAAAATTTGAGGAATATGGCATTCGATATAGTCATAAATGTGTTCAATTTGTCATCATTCATTACTTCCCTATTCATCTTTTATAACATTTGCTTGTTTATTATCCTTCACTTCTCTATTAGAAGTTGTATTATTTCTTATCTGCGCATTACATTTATACATTTAAAAAAATTTAAAGAATTTTAGCAGTTTGGAAGATTTGTGCGATTTGAATATTGAGAATAAGTTTCATCTTTCATAATCATTTATTAAAGGTAAAAAAATGTTAATGATTTGATAATTAATCAATTTCCATCAAATAAATTATCTTATCTTGATAGAGTGATGACAATGAGCGTACAGTGATGATTAATACAGCTTACATTAAGTCAATGGACGTGGAGGCGGCACCAGAGGATATAGAGTTTTTGATTGAGGTAAGAAATTTGTCTTTAAAGGCACACTGCCATACTTGTAGCTACTTGCTCCCTCTATATAAAAAAAACTTCCCCAATCGGTGCCTGTTGGTCCCCCATGATCCTCTTTTTCTTATGTTAAATGAGAGCTGAGTTAATGAGATAGCCACCTGTCACAGTGACCTCGATGGCTCGCTGTGTGGTCTAATCCCTTCTTGCCCAGTAGTGTGGTGACGGTCTTTAAATGGGGTTTTGAATATGTGACGTCATGTTTCAACCGAGGCGACGGCTTTGATTATCTGTACTTCTGTAATAAATAAAAGAATGTCGACCATAATGAGAAAACAAAATTAAGAGATTATACACCTAAGTAATCATATTGGTGTATTGTATGAGATGTTTGGATTTAGAACAGGTTTACATGCATTATTTAGATATATCATCTCCCACAGTGTTTTCCGGGGTTTCATGCTCCTTTAAGTGGAAAGGACTTTGAAATTGGATTATTATGAATAAGAGAAAATGTACAGGAAATGTAATACAATACACGAGAAGGGAAAATGTAGAAGAAATGTAATAGAAAACCCGATATAGCCTGAAACAAAATCGTTGTAGCATAAATTTGATTTATCTGCAGATTTGGTTAATTGTAACTTTCCTGATATTACATCCCTATCTATACATAGCAAGGGCGAGAGAGTCTCCTTTTGTTTCTGAGGTACCTAAGGAAGAAACAAAATGTGAAGAAAATAACCGTTGAGGAATGCAACACCCAGCTGACATAGCAACTCATCAGCCGGGATGTTTCAGCGATTCATACAATTGGTTCCCGGGAATCGGTGGACTACGTCGCATTTTATTGATGAATGTCATGAACATTATTTCAAGTCCTTATCGAATCAAGGAGGTTTAAGAGCTGGAGTCCCAATCGGCAACACATTATGCGAAGCAGCCGCCGGTTTGTAATTTAATATATTACGGTAAAATTGTGATATCAAAGCTTTTATATGTGTTGCAAACTACTTTTGTTGCGACTGCTATTCCAATACCATATTCCTTTGTTAAACAAATAAATAAGATGATGTTTTTATTTTTACGAGGGTCTATTAAGAAAGAGAAAATATAGAGAAATGTATGTTTGAATAAAATTACTGGAAAGGGTTTAGGTACGGTTGATTTTCAGGCAAAAGTTGGTTCTCTGCGACTTTCTTGGACAAGGAGATTTGTTGACTCTGGGAAAGCTGCATGGATTTGTTTGTTTCCTACTGGTTAAATAGAGTAGGTGGAATTCCATTGGTGCTTCAGTTTAATTGTAATAACAGAGACATGGAGAAACTTTGTCGAATGCCTGTGATATCCCTTTTTACTTTGTACTTGGTCAGAATAGATATGTAAATACACCCTAATCACCCATGGTTACAAATGTTGAAAATGAAATATTATGGAATAATAGTAGTATTACTTCTGGTAACCAGGTATTGCATTTCAAGTTATGGGGAAAAAGTTGGGATTTACAGAATCACATGTTTTTAGTCAAGGACATTGGAATGATGTGAATTCAATGTGTCAAAATAAAATAAGTTTCCAAAATTGTTGTTTTCTTTCAACTTTTCAAAGGTAAAGAAAGGCTTTCCAAACTTGTGAGTTGATCCTTTACGTAATGGTTTGTATCAAACTTTTAACCAATATCAACTGGTGATGATATCAATATCAATAATAAATATGAAGGCTAAACAGTTCTACTTATTCTTTGTACAGAAAAAACATGAAGAATATTTTGTATACAATGCTTGGCAGCAACGATTAGTACTGCCCTCCGATCCGGTACTAATGTTTAAGTTTAATGCTATACGAGATTACATAATCAAACAATTTAATTTTAAACTTTTGCATATGTTTTTACCGTCAAGATAAAACTCATATGAATGGAAAATTAAAAATGATTATGTAAGTGAAGATTACGAAACCATTAAAACATCACGGCTTATGATGCTATAGAGTGTAAAATATATAATTGTGTTTTGGAAAATTGTAACACATTTGATGTATCATCTTTTGGGGTTAGATATTTACATGAATGAGAAGAGTTGAGTAACTGGATATGATATAGGAAAGTTAGACAATTACTTGGTAAACATTTTGATTAATTTTGCTGAATACGTTATTTATAATAACTACGCTAAACATTTGAAAATAAAAAGCAAAATGAATGGTAGAAATCTTTCAACTGATTTGAAGTATGAGTTATATTCACATTTGAATTCTCAAACAAAAGCAAAGGTTAATGAAAAACAGGTAAAAGCTTTGACTGACATGCTAAGATAATGCTTTAATTGTATTGTACTGTATAAATTATGTTATTGTGAAAGTTGTAGATATGTGAAATAACAAAGTTCCCTGAAAGGGCTAAAAAGAAAGAAAAAATGTTTTCAGTTTGTATAAACCAACACTATGGAAAATGCTTTGCTGCAATGTTATGTACGAACAAGAATTAGAGTTTTGAGAAAAAAAATTATAATAACAATATAACCTTAAAATTTAGTAGGCAAGCTTTCGCCTCGATATTTATTGTCACCTATCGTCGCTCAAGGCAGCAGACCGCAAGAAACTGTATACATAATCACTTGGCTTTAGAAAGTCCACATGAGTGGACGAAAGTTTGCCTGCTATAAATGTTAAGCTTTAGAAGCTTAAAGTACAACAGACCATTGGGAAAAAATAATCTGATCGATTCCATAATTCTCCAAACTATATTATTATAATTAGGTGAATGTAAATCGTCACAAATAAATGAATAAGCTTTATATACCATTTCAAATATTCAAATGTTGAAAGATTTATGAAGGCCTGTTTAAGTCTTATTTGTATGGAAAAACAGTTAGGAAAAGGGGGGAAATTCAAAAATGATTTGGGAGAATTGACGCCGTCAAAGAATACCATAAATATCTTTGTGGTTTGAGAATTTGTTCAGGACTTTTTGCATGTTAGAGAGTTAGTACTGTAAAATAATATGATAAATAAAGTAAAATTTCATACAAAAAATATGCATTTTTTTCATCATTCTTCAACAAAGTTACTGGTTGACCCTAAAGGGAAAGTCCACCCTGATAATAAATTTGTTTTAATACAAGGAGAAAAATGAGAAGAACAGATCAGGGAAGGTTTGAGAAAAGTAGGCAATAAAGAAAGTTGAGGATTTTTAAAATTCCATAACTTTTCAAAAAATGCTTCAAATTTGTGAGTCAAATTGGCAGGGCAGTCTCTAAATATGATGTGACCCCCTCACATTTTATCCTTTGTTGAATGCAAGAAATTTCATTACATTCAATTTTGATCAAACGATATATTTTTTTCATGCTTATCTCGATCATATATCACAGAAATTATGTTTTTTCGTGCACCCCCATATAAGATAGGTGTACACTCTAAAAACTGAAATGTTAAATCACCATTTAAAAGGGCCGAGGAGTGACCACTCTTCCAAAATGGTAGATTACCCCTTTGAACATGCTGGATCCAACATTATAAAGGTTGAATCTAGCAGGTTAAAAGAAACAATCTGACATTTTGAAAGAGTGGTCACTCCTCGGCCCTTTTAAATTGACATTTAACATTTCAGTTTTTAAATTGACATTTAACATTTCAGTTGTACTATTCCATTAACATTTAGAGAACTGGAAATTTTGGGTCATTCTGTCATTCAGAGCAGTGGTGAATTGTGAGGGTATGATATCCCAACTTCTGACCGCCTTGCAATTTGTCTCAAACTCTAAAGATTCCATGATTTTCATGATTATGAAAGATTATGATTATGTCCGATTTTCTCAAACTTTCACTTTTTTGTCTAATTGTTCTGCTTTTATCAAAACCAATTATTTATCAGGATGGACTTTTCCTTTAAGTCTTGGTCATGTTCTTCATTAAAATAATATTATTTCCATGTACTATCGTAGGCAAATATGTCACTCTTTCAATTAAACAAAGAGATCGACTTTTTTATGGAGAAAAGAAGTTAAAAATTATGAATTTGTTTGGATTATTAAGAGTCTTGAGAGGTAGTCTAATCCACAGTAATACTTCGAGATACATGGTTATTGCACTTTGTTACAAATTAGTATATTCGCATTTATCGATAGAGACACCTTATTAATACACATGTACTATGGATCACACTAATCATAATGATTGTTATAGAAAAATATTTAACCCTCGTTCTACATACCCCTGTGATAAAAATAATGTGATATTAAGGAGCAACTTCAAAAAAATCAAACTCTACATGACTTTCAACAAAGCAGAATTATGTATGAAGTTCTTCCAAGGGGGTAGAGCAAGGAGACAGATCATCAATCAATAAGTCGAAAGTTGCACTTACCAGAGCGCCATCTTTCATGAATTACTAGGACACTTTAGTAACGAGACGGAAGGCAAAGAGGACGGGAGAATCCACTCAACCGAGATCAAATAATGTATGCAGTTTGGATTCTGTCTATTGAAATACTATTATTCTTATCATGTGAATGAAATAATTTTTATTGAGGCACTTGACAAAGACTTATGCATTAAATTTGGTTACATTACGAAAATGGTCTATTGTACGGCGATAGATCTTCCGTCGAGTTTAGGGAACGAACGCTGTATTATGGCTGAAAACGGTCGTGGAAATCAACAAGACGGAGACAATTCTGGTTCGCACATGCGCAGATTGATTATTTTGCTCGGTTACCCTCGTCTTCGCCTTCCGTTATTTTCGTAATGTTACCAAGTTTAATGCATAAGTCTTTGAGAAGTGCCTCAATACAAATTATTTCATTCACCTGATAAGAATAATAGTATTTCAATAGACAGAATCCGAACTGCATACATTATTTGATCTCGGTTGAGTGAATTCTCCCGTCCTCTTTGCCTTCCGTCTCGTTACTAAGCGCCCTAATACCAATACTCTGATGCCAGGGCAGTGTTCCCTTTGTAATATTAAGGTACAGGGTGATGAATGACATTCGTAAGCATGTTAAGCAATATTATTACAGTAGACCTAACGTTTTCAAATTTCATCAGTTATTCAATGCAAATTCTGCTAAGCAGTTAAAGAACCTTTCCAAATTTGGTAAGATCATTATGTCTTAGCTTGAATAATTTGTTTAATTTGTCCTTTTTTAATACGGTAGAGTTTTGGTTTGATGGGTTGTTGTCGTTTTTAGTATCATGGTGTACATACATGTATAGTAGTGTACTGCCAGCTGGGATGTAGGGTATCATGTATTTTTTAAAAGTATATCTTAAAGCTTGCCTTCATTTGTTTGTTGTTCGCTGCCAAAGATCTTCTTGTTTATAAAGATTTTCTGTGTGTGTTTTTTATAAATATTTTTTTTAATGAATTTCATTGTTGAACATAATATCTGTACTATTCAACTGTATTTCTTTCATGCCCAAGAAGGAGCCTTTAAAGAAATTAAAAAAAATCATTGTCATTGTCACGTCGGACTGTCAGAAGTACAAGTCCATAGACAACCCTCTCAAACGCGTGCATTGAATTTAACACGCGTTTCAAAGGGATGTCGGCCGGTGAACGAATTTGTATTTAACTTGATAATTATGATGATGTCTGTCTACAGAGGTTTATGGCATCTCCGTAACAATTGTCCTTTAAAATTGGATGGCATGCATGAGCAAGTACAGTAAACAAATATTCTTTTTTTCTTTTTTTCTCAAACCGGTTTGCTACCATCGAGTCCATTGTTATGATCAAATCTATTGTGAAGGACATTTTTCACAATTGAACCTATAATGGCGGCATTGGTTGTGTATTACAAACACACCCACTTAGACTCCTGTATTGGGGGCCACGTTTGCTATGAGTCGGATTTACTTATCTTTCAGTCGAATACAAATATACTGTCAAAAAGAAAACTATCTTGTAGGTTCATTGATTTACAGTTTACAGTGTAAAAAAACGAATGACAGAAATGGTTTCAACAGTGTTTTATATACATGTACCATGATAGCGAATGAAGAACCGTCTATGGGTTTGACGCCCCCCCCCCCCCACTATAGGCAAGCCGCTCTCTTCGTGCTAGTTATGTATAATATAACTGTATGTGGCTGGAAACAAATGAACAGAAGAGAATTAGTGATAAGGTTTCACTCTACAAACCCATCCCGTAGAGTCCATTGTTATGATCAAATCTATTGTCAAGGACATTTTTCACAATAAAAATTGAAGCTATAATGGCGGCATTGGTTGTGTATTGCACACACCCCCTTAGACTCCTGTATTGGGGGCCACGTTTGCTATGAGTGGGATTTAATTATCTTTCAGTCGAATACAAATATACTGTCAAAAAGAAAACTATCTTGTAGGTTCATTGATTTACAGTTTTTTTTTATAATCATGTACCATGATAGCGAATGAAGAACCGTCTACGGGTATGACGCCCCCCCCCCCCCCCCGCTATAGACAAGCCGCTCTCTTCGTGCTCGTTATGTATAATATAACTGTATGTGGCTGGAAACAAATGAACAGAAGAGAATTAGTGATAAGGTTTCACTCTACAAACCCATCCCGTAGAGTCCATTGTTATGATCAAATCTATTGTCAAGGATATTTTTCACAATAAAAATTGAAGCTATAATGGCGGCATTGGTTGTGTATTGCACACACCCCCTTAGACTCCTGTATTGGGGGCCACGTTTGCTACGAGTGGGATTTAATTATCTTTCAGTCGAATACAAATATACTATCAAAAAGAAAACTATCTTGTAGGTTCATTGATTTACAGTTTTTTTTTATAATCATGTACCATGATAGCGAATGAAGAACCGTCTATGGGTATGACGCCCCCCCCCCCCCCCGCTATAGACAAGCCGCTCTCTTCGTGCTCGTTATGTATAATATAACTGTATGTGGCTGGAAACAAATGAACAGAAGAGAATTAGTGATAAGGTTTCACTCTACAAACCTATCCCGTAGAGTCCATTGATATGATCAAATCTGTTGTCAAGGATATTTTTCACAATAAAAATTGAAGCTATAATGGCGGCATTGGTTGTGTATTGCACACACCCCTTAGACTCCTGCATTGGGGGCCACGTTTGCTATGAGTGGGATTTACTTATCTTTCAGTCGAATACAAATATACTATCAAAAAGAAAACTATCTTGTAGGTTCATTGATTTACAGTTTACAGTGTAAAAAAACGAATGATAGAAATGGTTTCAACAGTGTTTTATATGCATGTACCATGATAGCGACTGAAGAACCGTCTACGGGTATGGGTAGTGAGCACTATTTTTGTTTTTGCCCCCGAAGATTTGAAAATCGCACCCCCCCCCTTCAGCACCAGGGGTGGGGGCCCGTCTTCTTTTTTTAAAAATAACAAATAAAGGTTAAATTTACGTGTGGATCCGCCACTGCGATAACCTCT